ACAACCATGACATCTACCGACCGCTCATGGAACGAAATGGAATAATGGATTTCTTTAAAATGACACTGTGCTATAGGAGGAACTAATAAGGTTTTTATTGGATATTTTTACAAATTATACAGATAAGAGTGTAAGCAAGAATATGGCAATATTCGGTTGGATTTTTCGCCTACAATTAGTTTTCATAGCCTTGTCCACACACATGCAAATGAGAGAGGATGGCATTTTTCAATATAATCAGTTTATTTTCTTTACAAGCCCTAATAATAATTCTTTTTATATTACAATTTATTATAATTAGCTTCAGTTGCGTAAGGCCTCTAATCATAAGACCCGTGGTTGTCTAATCAATAATCGAATAAAAATTTTGCTTTACTATTTATGTAATAGATGTAGTATGAAAAAATGTTACATTACCTTCGGTTCTAAAACCTTAAAAGAAGTACTTCTTAGGTAGTCTTAATATAAGTCCGGTTCACAACCGGAAAAAGAAAAAGTTATTACTTAATCTTATCATTAACTTGAAAACTCCTGCTTTTTGATCAAAAACCTGAACTTGTTCAGATTAATTATAACATTTAAGCTTAGGTTAAGTTGGTTTGTTCATAAAACTAAATTAGTCTAGGTTTTCGATCAAAAACTGGATTCTCTCAGGTTTATGATAACATAAAGTAGTAATTTTACCTTCATGAAAACTTGATTTTACCATAAACATTAAAAAGTATCAATTATCGCGCGTTAAAACGTGTCTAAAATAGGATATTTTGTCCAAGGCGGGCTTAAGGTGAGGTGCGTAAGTGATAATGTAGGTGTGACCTGCGGGCGTGTCGAGCGGCGCGGTCATACCGCCGATGTGCAGCTGCAGGTCGCCCAGCAGCAGCGAGTCGTCGCGGCCGCTGCGCAGCAGGTACGAGCCCATGTCCGTCTGCAGGTAGCTGCGGCACGCCGTCACCCACGCCTGCAGCTCCAGCATCGAGATCGCGCACAGTCCGCCGGGAGGCGCAGACGACGCCTGCGAACCACATACAATACGGCATTACACCCATTTTATAATACTGTTTTAAGTGAATTCTAGACTGATAATGAACCACTATAATTTTTATATAAATTTTCTAAAACCGAAGTGCCATAAAAATTACTGTTAAACTATCGTTTTAAATTCTCGCGTGAAAACGCTAGCCGCCATGCTGCTAGCTTCGTGACGTCAATGCGCTAGTAAATAAAACAATTTTACAAAGGAATAAGATATGTGTAAAAACCGTATTAAACTTACTTTATTTACACATAAAACAAATTACCAGAACTAGCATACATTTCAGCAGCCAGTGGCTTCTTCCTAATGGCGTTATTAATTAAACATTTAAAAAAATAAGTTAAATTTTTAGCTGCAAATTATATTTTCATTTAGGGATAGATTTTCTTCTATAGTGCTTCATCACTTTAAACACATGAAATTATTAAAAAATAATATGTTTAGATGATGAAGGTTAGAGAACAGGAGAACGATCACCATAGAAAATAGTGTTCCAGAAATATGGACACCATAAGTGAGGCGCTGCGATCGCAAAGTTCGGTCAATAATGGTCATTTTCAGTCTATTTTTCCGATCAGATGCTAAACCACTTGTCCGCGCACAGTAAAATATTTCTTCATTTTTTAATGTTTATTTTTGTCAAAAAATACAAAATTACAGAGCATGAAAATTTTCTCACCAATGGCGCGGAGAAAATTTGTACATTATTCAACTAATTTCATCTACTTGTAGTTATAAACAGCTAACTTCGCAGTCACAACTCACCGACGTCAGCGCCGCTATACAATCTACAATATTCAAGAACAGGCGGTTTTGCTTTAGTACGTAGTGATCGTTCTCTTGTTCTCTAACCTTCATGGTTTAGAGATGGTCTTTATAATATGGTTTCATCAAATGTTAAATAACTTATCCTGTAATCAATAGACTAACAGTAAATATGACTATACTTTGATCTTGGCCGTGAGGTGGTGGCGTTATCAATCCATTCAAGCAATCGTTCCCCTACCTTCCGTTTCGTTCCGGTTTCGTTAGAGGCTACTATGGAATAAGTCAAAGAAATTTAATGACCTACGATTTCGAGATACCGTTTTGTATTCGACGAAACCGGTAACAGGGTGCATTTAATGATGCTCGACATCTGATAGTTTAAACGTCAATACCTACTAAATATAGCGATTACCGCGTTTTTTTGCAATAGTACCAGCCCTTGCTCAGCAGTAGAATGTTTTAGGCGTACAAAGAAGAAATGTATGGCATAAAATAACAGATTATAAAATATCACAAATGTTTTTGTTTTATACTATAGCTATTGTATTGGGAAGTCGATGGATGCAGTTAGCTCAGGACCGTGCTTTATGGCATTCCTTGGAGATGGGGATGTGTTTAGGTTTATTTTCAGCAGTGGACTTGTGAAGGGCTGTAATGATGATGAAAACTGTTAATTAACTAACTGTTAATTACTAAAAAAATATGAATTAAAATGTTTGTACACAGAAAAAAATCTTACTTGCAAAGCATGTATCGAATCTATCCACTGCGTGCGCTCGTACTCTGAACTGAGGAAAAATATATGTTGTCGCTGTAACGCGTTCGAACTTCCGGGAGCCTTCGCACCCACACGTAATACGAGATTCGGCGATGCTAATACCAATTGCCCTTCCAACTCTGCCAATTTCTTACGTTGCTTTTCTGCTACGCCACGACTGCCGATTCGGATTTTCTGAAAAAAAAAAGTAATCAGATTTTATTTTGTGCTAGAATATTTTTATGATTTAGTCTTGAAGTGAAAGTAACCTAATGATAAAGAATATGGTCTACGAAACTAAAATGTCTTTTGTTCGATTTCGCCCTATCATCGTGAACCATTTTAGCATTTTACGCTTAGTTGATGTGGTTAACAGGAGTGTTATTATTATTGATAGCACTGCTAGTATACTTTACAAAAAAGTTTAACAAGTATATTCATGAAATAACTATTTGATAATATAGGTACTTAGTTTGTTACTAATCTTAATATCGTAATTACGGACATGTTTGGCTTTATATTACTGAGTTTTGATAAACAATAAAAATTAGTAGTCATGGGTTAACCCAAGTTAAAAGTAGGGGACTCATATGACTGAACCAAGGTGGTCACTCTGAGTGGGCTTGTCGAGCCCTTGGATGTGTGTTAGTGGACTGCAGCTAGAGGAGATTCCAGATGTGTTGTTATGGCGATTGGCGATGCGCCACTCGACTATCCTCAGACGTAATCCTTCACAGCTGGCCGTATGATGAAGCTCAAAGTCGCTCAGCAAGGTATGTAGAGGGCTATGCTCGGAGTTTTTATGCGTGATAAACTTAGGAATGAGAATATCCGCAGTAGAACCAGAGTGACTAACATCGCCCAACGGATTAGTAAGCTGAGGTAACAATGGGCTGGCCATATAGTTTGAAGAACCAATAACCGATGGAGAAGAACGGTTCTCGAGTGGCAGCCTCGTACCGGCAGGCGAAGTGTAGGACGTCCCCCCACTAGATGGAATGGCAACCTTGTCAGACTTCTTAGGGGAGAGCTGTGAAGAGCTTTGATGATGATGAATGATGATGGCATTATATAAATACGGTACGTAAATAGAATGGACGTTACGGGTAGAGGCTTACCCATAACGTCCATTCTATTTATTTAGATATAGGTAGGGTATAGAATTTTTGTCGATATATTTTGTCACACTGTCTTATCTCTTTATTAGTGCCGAGGACGTTCATTTCTGCTGTCAAAATGGCGCAAATCAAATCGCCTCTTCATGTCTCATCCTGCATCAGTGATGGTTTGGTGGGGCTTGTCTTATCAAGGCGTCACAAAGCTACATTTTTGTGAAAAAGGAGTGAAAACTTCAACGAAATTGTTTCAAGAGACAGACTTGGATCGTGTTGTTGTGAAACCTTTCAGCAATACGCTTTTTAAAATTGTACTGTGGATTTTCCAGCAGGACTCTGCACATGGTCACAAGGCACGAGCTACCAAGTCTGGCTTGAAACCAACGTTCCGGACTTTATAAGAGCTGAAGACTGGCCCTCTTCTAGCCCAGACCTCAACCCTTTAGACTACAAATTATGGTCAGTTTTAGAGAGCATGGCTTGCTCAAAACGACACGGTGACATTGAGTCTCTTAAAGAATCTCTGGAGCTAGCAGTGGCGAAATTTGCATAAATCCATAGATTCGCGGCCAGACAGATTAAAACAGACAAAGGTGGCCATTTTGAATAGAATATTGTTTTTATTTTTTGCTGAGACTATGTACATATAAGTTTTAGTAATATTACACTACTTCATTAAAAAAATTCCACTTTCATTTGTAACAGAACTTATGGCCGGACTAGTTATACAGAGGTCAGTGATCTACAATTAATAATTCCTATGTAATGTTGGAAATGTATAAATTTGTCTAAGTAAGTATTATATTATGTTAAATATTATTCTAATTGTAATATTTCTATACTGTAGTATAAGTGAACCATTCTATAATTTCAACATCTGCAATTACCATATACTAAGAAAATAAACGATGTCATACTAAGTCAATGACGAAAGTCACAGGTGATTTGAAATATAAGTAAACTAGTTTCTATTGTTCATTTAGCAAAACGGGGAAAAACAACGAAGTTGTAAAATACATCATCTGTTTAAACAATATTAGAAAAAGTATCAAGTAGTATCCTTCCCAGCTTTTTTCATTTCTTATACAATATCTGGAACAGGTTACGTGGCTAGTGAAGAAAGACGGGGCTTTCCAGAATAATGTAGTATGGCTTGCGTAATTGTAATCAGAAAGTTATTATAAGTATTATATGGTCCTCTTGTGTTGTAGGTGTTCATGGGCGGCGGTGATTACTTACCATGATGTGAATCGCATGCTCGTTTGCCTCTTATTCTATTAAAAGAACCAAGTTATAGAGCATACAATAAACATTTATAATTATTATGTCACGCCGGCGACTTGAGTTGCACGATGTGGTTTGGGACGTACCTTGTCGTCGTGTGCGGCGCGCTCCTCGGCCAGGATCTGGTCGCGCACAGGGGACGCTTGCGACTTGAGCGCCACGATGTGGTGTGGGAAGTACCTTGTCGTCGTGTGCGGCGCGCTCCTCGGCCAGGATCTGGTCGCGCACACTGGACGCTTGCGACTTGAGCGCCACGATGTGGTGTGGGACGTACCTTGTCGTCGTGTGCGGCGCGCTTCTCAGCCAGGATCTGGTCACGCACAGTGGACGCTTGCGACTTGAGCGTCACGATGTGGTGTGGGACGTACCTTGTCGTCGTGTCCGGCGCGCTCCTCGGCCAGGATCTGGCTACGCACGGTGGACGCTTGCGACTTGAGCGCCACGATGTGGTGTGGGACGTACCTTGTCGTCGTGTGCGGCGCGCTCCTCGGCCAGGATCTGGTCGCGCACGGTGGACGCTTGCGACTTGAGCGCCACGATGTGGTGTGGGACGCACCTTGTCGTCGTGTGCGGCGCGCTCCTCAGCTAGGATCTGGTCGCGCACGGTGGACGCTTGCGACTTGAGCGCCACGATGTGGCGAGGGACGTACCTTGTCGTAGTGTGCGGCGCGCTCCTCGGCCAGGATCTAGTCGCGCACAGTGGACGCTTGCGACTTGAGCGCCACGATGTGGCGAGGGACGTACCTTGTCGTAGTGTGCGGCGCGCTCCTCGGCCAGGATCTGGTCGCGCACAGTGGACGCTTGCGACTTGAGCGCCACGATATGGTGAGGAACGTACCTTGTCGTAGTGTGCGGCGCGCTCCTCGGCCAGGATCTGGTCGCGCAGGGTGGACGCTTGCGACTTGAGCGCCACGATGTGGTGAGGGACGTACCTTGTCGTAATGTGCGGCGCGCTCCTCGGCCAGGATCTGGTCGCGCACAGTGGACGCTTGCGACTTGAGCGCCACGATGTGGTGAGGGACGTACCTTGTCGTAGTGTGCGGCGCGCTCCTCGGCCAGGATCTGGTCGCGCACAGTGGACGCTTGCGACTTGAGCTTCACGATGTGGTGAGGGACGTACCTTGTCGTAGTGTGCGGCGCGCTCCTCGGCCAGGATCTGGTCGCGCACGGTGGACGCTTGCGACTTGAGCGCCACGATGTGGTGAGGGACGTACCTTGTCGTAATGTGCGGCGCGCTCCTCGGCCAGGATCTGGTCGCGCACAGTGGACGCTTGCGACTTGAGCGCCACGATGTGGTGAGGGAAGTACCTTGTCGTAGTGTGCGGCGCGCTCCTCGGCCAGGATCTGGTCGCGCACAGTGGACGCTTGCGACTTGAGCGCCACGATGTGGTGTGGGACGTACCTTGTCGTCGTGTGCGGTGTGCTCCTCAGCCAGGATCTGGTCACGCACGGTGGACGCTTGCGACTTTAGCGTCACGATGTGGTGTGGGACGTACCTTGTCGTCGTGTGCGGCGCGCTCCTCGGCCAGGATCTGGTCACGCACGGTGGACGCTTGCGACTTGAGCGCCACGATGTGGTGTGGGACGTACCTTGTCGTCGTGTGCGGCGCGCTCCTCGGCCAGGATCTGGCTACGCACGGTGGACGCTTGCGACTTGAGCGCCACGATGTGGTGTGGGACGTACTTTGTCGTCGTGTGCGGCGCGCTCCTCGGCCAGGATCTGGTCACGCACGGTGGACGCTTGCGACTTGAGCGCCACGATGTGGTGTGGGACGTACCTTGTCGTCGTGTGCGGCGCGCTCCTCGGCAGGATCTGGCTACGCACGGTGGACGCTTGCCACTTGGGCGCCACGATGTGGTGTGGGACGTACCTTGTCGTCGTGTGCGGCGCGCTCCTCGGCCAGGATCTGGTCGCGCACGGTGGACGCTTGCGACTTGAGCGCCACGATGTGGTGTGGGACGCACCTTGTCGTCGTGTGCGGCGCGCTCCTCGGCCAGGATCTGGTCGCGCACGGTGGACGCTTGCGACTTGAGCGCCACGATGTGGTGTGGGACGCACCTTGTCGTCGTGTGCGGCGCGCTCCTCGGCCAGGATCTGGTCGCGCACGGTGGACGCTTGCGACTTGAGCGCCACGATGTGGTGTGGGACGTACCTTGTCGTCGTGTGCGGCGCGCTCCTCGGCCAGGATCTAGCTACGCACGGTGGACGCTTGCGACTTGAGTGCCACGATGTGGTGTGGGACGTACCTTGTCGTCGTGTGCGGCGCGCTCCTCGGCCAGAATCTGGCTACGCACGGTGGACGCTTGCGACTTGAGCGCCACGATGTGGTGTGGGACGTACCTTGTCGTCGTGTGCGGCGCGCTCCTCGGCCAGGATCTGGCTACGCACGGTGGACGCTTGCGACTTGAGCGCCACATGTGGTGTGGGACGTACCTTGTCGTCGTGTGCGGCGCGCTCCTCGGCCAGGATCTGGTCGCACACGGTGGACGCTTGCGACTTGAGCGCCACGATGTGGTGTGGGACGCACCTTGTCGTCGTGTGCGGCGCGCTCCTCGGCCAGGATCTGGTCGCGCACGGTGGACGCTTGCGACTTGGTGTGGGACGTACCTTGTTGTCGTGTGCGGCGCGCTCCTCGGCCAGGATCTGACTACGCACGGTGGACGCTTGCGACTTGAGCGCCACGATGTGGTGTGGGACGTACCTTGTCGTCGTGTTCGGCGCGCTCCTCAGCCAGGATCTGGTCACGCACGGTGGACGCTTGCGACTTGAGCGTCACGATGTGATGTGGGACGTACCTTGTCGTCGTGTGCTGCGCGCTCCTCGGCCAGAATCTGGCTACGCACGGTGGACGCTTGCGACTTGAGCGCCACGATGTGGTGTGGGACGTACCCTGTCGTAGTGTGCGGCGCGCTCCTCGGCCAGGATCTGACTACGCACGGTGGACGCTTGCGACTTGAGCGCTACGATATGGTGTGAGACGTACCTTGTCGCCGTGTGCGGCGCGCTCCACGGCCAGGATCTGGCTACGCACGGTGGACGCTTGCGACTTGAGCGCCACGATGTGGTGTGGGACGTACCTTGTCGTCGTGTGCGGCGCGCTCCTCGGCCAGTATCTGGCTAAGGACGGTGGACGCTTGCGACTTGAGCGCCACGATGTGGTGTGGGACGTACCTTGTCGTCGTGTGCGGCGCGCTCCTCGACCAGGATCTGGTCGTGCACGCTGGACGCTTGCGACTTGAGCGCCACGATGTGGTGAGGGACGTACCTTGTCGTCGTGTGCGGCGCGCTCCTCGGCCAGGATCTGGTCGCGCACGGTGGACGCTTGCGACTTGAGCGCCACGATGTGGTGTGGGACGTACCTTGTCGTCGTGTGCGGCGCGCTCCTCGGCCAGGATCTGGTCGCGCACGGTGGACGCTTGCGACTTGAGCGCCACGATGTGGTGTGGGGACGCACCTTGTCGTCGTGTGCGGCGCGCTCCTCGGCCAGGATCTGGTCGCGCACGGTGGACGCTTGCGACTTGAGCGCCACGATGTGGTGTGGGACGTACCTTGTCGTCGTGTGCGGCGCGCTCCTCGGCCAGGATCTAGCTACGCACGGTGGACGCTTGCGACTTGAGTGCCACGATGTGGTGTGGGACGTACCTTGTCGTCGTGTGCGGCGCGCTCCTCGGCCAGGATCTGGCTACGCACGGTGGACGCTTGCGACTTGAGCGCCACGATGTGGTGTGGGACGTACCTTGTCGTCGTGTGCGGCGCGCTCCTCGGCCAGGATCTGGCTACGCACGGTGGACGCTTGCGACTTGAGCGCCACGATGTGGTGTGGGACGTACCTTGTCGTCGTGTGCGGCGCGCTCCTCGGCCAGGATCTGGTCGCACACGGTGGACGCTTGCGACTTGAGCGCCACGATGTGGTGTGGGACGCACCTTGTCGTCGTGTGCGGCGCGCTCCTCGGCCAGGATCTGGTCGCGCACGGTGGACGCTTGCGACTTGGTGTGGGACGTACCTTATTGTCGTGTGCGGCGCGCTCCTCGGCCAGGATCTGACTACGCACGGTGGACGCTTGCGACTTGAGCGCCACGATGTGGTGTGGGACGTACCTTGTCGTCGTGTTCGGCGCGCTCCTCAGCCAGGATCTGGTCACGCACGGTGGACGCTTGCGACTTGAGCGTCACGATGTGATGTGGGACGTACCTTGTCGTCGTGTGCTGCGCGCTCCTCGGCCAGAATCTGGCTACGCACGGTGGACGCTTGCGACTTGAGCGCCACGATGTGGTGTGGGACGTACCCTGTCGTAGTGTGCGGCGCGCTCCTCGGCCAGGATCTGACTACGCACGGTGGACGCTTGCGACTTGAGCGCTACGATATGGTGTGAGACGTACCTTGTCGCCGTGTGCGGCGCGCTCCACGGCCAGGATCTGGCTACGCACGGTGGACGCTTGCGACTTGAGCGCCACGATGTGGTGTGGGACGTACCTTGTCGTCGTGTGCGGCGCGCTCCTCGGCCAGGATCTGGCTAAGGACGGTGGACGCTTGCGACTTGAGCGCCACGATGTGGTGTGGGACGTACCTTGTCGTCGTGTGCGGCGCGCTCCTCGACCAGGATCTGGTCGTGCACGCTGGACGCTTGCGACTTGAGCGCCACGATGTGGTGAGGGACGTACCTTGTCGTCGTGTGCGGCGCGCTCCTCAGCCAGGATCTGGTCGCGCACGATGGACGCTTGCGACTTGAGCGCCACGATGTGGTGTGGGACGTACCTTGTCGTCGTGTGCGGCGCGCTCCTCGGCCAAGATCTGGTCGCGCACAGTGGACGCTTGCGACTTGAGCGTCACGATGTGGTGTGGGACGTACCTTGTCGTCGTGTGCGGCGCGCTCCTCGGCCAGGATCTGGCTACGCACGGTGGACGCTTGCGACTTGAGCGGTACGATGTGGTGTGGGACGTACCTTGTCGTCGTGTGCGGCGCGCTCCTCGGCCAGGATCTGGTCACGCACAGTGGACGCTTGCGACTTGAGCGCCACGATGTTGGCGGGCGACGTCTCCCGCGCCTCTCCGCCACCGACGCTTTCATCCTCTACTACAACTATCTCCGGCAGGGGGATAAACCACTTCAGCTCGAACGTGAACTTGTCGCGCCCTGATGCCTGTAAGGGAATATAGTCCTTGAGTTTGCAAACATTTAGATATTAGCCAGATTTGTTGTTAAACATTCATTGCATATGATTTGTTACTTTTGAAAATTGTATTCTGCATAAATATATTTCATTGTATATGTGGAATATATTTATTAATTTTTATCATAAGATATAAAAACCACAATTACGATTACTGATGTAATTATACAAATAAATAAGAGGTTCCTGTTGTTTATTTGCATATTTTATCTTCCTAGCATTTCTTGAAATACATTATGAATACAATAATTATTTAAATTACCTTGTATTTGGCACAAGCGATAACATCATTGAATAGGAACAAATGCCTTAGTTTCCTGTGCCCGTCCGAAAGTTCTACAATAAATGAATTTTTCACGAGCCTTCTTTGTGCGCGATCAGCATTCTATAAATAAAATCAAATAGCAATGAATATTTTATACACCGAGACAATCTTATTTAAATAAATAATAATTTATACATACAGGGAACATAGATTTCGTTTGTATGATATTGAATTCGTCAAGGAAATGTTGCGTCATGTTTAAAGCATCCGTTAACATTGCGTGATCTGGGTGACTAGCTGGTGTGTATTTTATGAGATCCTGAAAAGTGAAAAACATTAGTAATAAATATGCATAACACAAATTCTTTTTTATAAGTCGTAATATCCTAATACCCGGATTTTCGAACGTAGTAGCAGATGTCTTGATAAACGAGCATGCAGTCTACCTTATGGAAAGTGCCATCCACTTACCATAGGTGACCTATAAACAGTTACTTCTATTCTAGATTAAGAATTTAAATGCAGACGCGATATCACTCTTAAGACTAAGATAGAATGTTAGTTACCAGAAAAAGAAAATCCGGATTTCATCACTCACCTTAAATATGAAACACAGCAGAATTATGCTTGCATCCTTTTCCATTCATTTGATCCATTCAGGCTTCACCCACAGTTTAGCTGCAGCATATTTCACTAATTTGGTAGTAGTTTAATAAAATTTCAAGCATAGAGCAGGCATAGTTACCGTTAATAGAAAACTATAAAAGTCAATGAAATCAACGATAAGTCATATGAATTTTATGTTGCTTAACATTGAGATGTGTCATTTCCATTCACTTTTAAGTTTTCTGATAGTGTTATCAATTTTAGAAAGCAGTTTGGCCTACCCCGCAGACGTCAAGCGGACGTAAAAAACGTTTACTGCATATTTATTTATCTATTTATTAAGGCAATTGTACATATTTCCGCTTAGCTGTTTTATCACAATCGACAGCGTCAGAAAATCCATCACCACATTCCGTCTAGAGGGTATCGTAAAAGGCGACTTTGGAAAATGCAAGAACGATGTTATGGTTTTCGATAGTTAGCGATATAAATATCCTGTTTATGCAAGATGTAAAATTCCTAGACTGGCGACAGGAAGCGGCGACAGGAAGCAGCGTCAAGGATGTGAGACGTCTAGTACTACTACCACCAATCTGCCTCCGCATGAAGGTTAAAGAAAATCCTCTGTGGACTATTTTTCGATCTGTCAAATACAAATTAAAAAAATGAACAAATAAAGGGTATGTTCCAAAACGTTTTCAGTATACTGCCGAATACAAATGACGTCATCAATTGACACTATATCGTACTGGCGTGCCGCCGCCATATCGTGTCGGATATCCGGCCATAATAAAACAATTTTTAATTGTGTGTACGCTGAATGAAGCATGCCAGAATTTGTTTTTATTTATTCAAATACAAAAAATTATACAATAATTGCTCGTATCTCCATTAGGAGGATATAATGATTTTTGGAGCACGAAATGATAAAATAATCATCAACACGTTTCCAATATGTTGCAAATGTATGAAGTCATATACTGTTCTATGTTTTGGAACGAATCACCAGTATAGCGTCGATTCATGACGTCATTTGCATTGGACCGTACACTGGGTTCCATTTTGGTACATACCCATAATATGCGAAGAGTAGTTAGTACTTACGTGCAACGAGGCAGAGTTTGACTGCCTCGTTCGTAGACAGAGAAACCTATAGACAAATTGACGCCTTCTTTCGCATTCGCACACGAAAAAGATAGATTTATGCATACGTCTTGCATAGAAATGAGATAGAGCGGTGTGATTGTTTGTCCCTTTCTCTGTGCCGATTTTTTTGTTTAGCAAACTCTACAGTTTGCTAAACAACTTTAACAGCGTACCGATTTAAGTAGTTTACAAGTTGGTTTAAGTGAGAAAAAAGTGTTTTGTGACCTTAAGATTGGTGAATCTTGTTCAGTTCAGTTCTTAGAACAATTAAAATTTTTATCTAAATGTGTTTAAAAGTCATAAAGATTATTGTGTAACCTAAAAATTCGTTATCGTCCTTTCACACTGGAGGCCACGCCGATCATTAGTCTATAGGTTTCTCTGTCTACGGCCTCGTTGGTCTAGTGGATGTAGTAGTGCGACTGCTGATCATGAGGTCCTGGGTTCGAATCCCGGGTCGGGCCAAAAAATTAATTATTGAGTTTTTCCGTCAAGAAATTTTCAGTAGTTGCTCGGAGTCAGGATGTTGGCGGTGTCTTACCCCCGTGCCTCGGAGAGCACGTAAAGCCGTTGGTCATGTGCCTGATCTCTCTCCGGTCGTGTCGATTTACCGTCCCATCGGATTATGGGAGTGAGGGAATAGAGAATACACCTGTGCTTGCGCATACACTTGGAAACTATAATCCTGTCCTGTGCCGATGGCTAGTCACTGTTGAAGCAGGCCGCCGAGACTGAAATTCGGTCTGGAGGACATTATTACTTACGTGCAGGACGAGCGCGTTCTTCTGCACTCTGGCGACGGGCTTGTGCAGCAGGTCGTCGAGCGACATGGGCTGTCCGCGGCACGCGATCTGGCGCGTGAGGTCGGCGAACCGCGCCGAGCTGCCGCAGCGCCGCCGCACCGCGTCCGTGGCGCGCCCGTAGTTGTGCAGGAACGCGCCGTACACGTTTATGTTCTCCGCCTGAAATAACGTATTGTTATCGTCGCAGCCTATCAAAGCTCACTGCTGAACGTAGGCTTTTTTAGATTTTTTTACGTGGTAGAGCCATGCTGCAGTTATATTAGTAGTATAGTTGTAGCACGAATGGGTCGGCTCGACCGGGGAAGGACCACGCTCTCACAGAATACCAGCGTTAAATGGTAGCTTAACGCTGCTGTGTTTCGTATGGTGAGTGTAGAGAACCGGAGACCCTTTTTACTGGAAATGAGGCATTCCATTTTAGTCCTCACGGGTGACAACGCATCTGCATATTGATTCGTAATCGAAGATAAATATAGATGTCTATGGGCCACAGCAACCGTTTACCATCAGATGGACTGTGTGCTCGTTTGTCACCCTAACCCAAAAAAAAAAAAAGATTGGCTCATAGAGGACTTCATGCCTTTCTGAACTCTCCGCGTCGATACACATTAAAGTAAAAAGTAAAGTTACAGCCTATATACGTCCCACTGCTGGGCACAGGTCTCCTCTCATTTATGAGAGGGTTTTAGGGCGGAGAAGTATCCACCGCACTGCCCCAATGCGTGTTGGCGAACTTCACATGTCTTCGGAATATTTTTTTCTTATTCCTCAGTCATGCAGGTTTCCTCACAATGTTTTTCTTCACCATCGAGCATATGGTAAATCAGCACTTAAAATTGCAATTAACAATTTCATTGGTGCCGGCGGGGATCGAACCCGGGTTACTCGCGTTCTGTTATATTTACAGCGAGCGTTAACCATCTGAGGTACCACGGCTAACGGCACGGCGTAACTTTCACTTTAAGCTAATTATAATTAAAACATTTTTTCTTTCTTTTTTAAGCTATCTAATAAGTAATCTACATTAGTGTTGTTTGTCCGCGATGAACTTTTAAACTACTTAACCGATTTTAATCAAATTTGTACACCGTGTGCAGCTTGGTCCAACTTGAGAGATGGGGTAGTTTTTTTTGCCCATGAGTAATCTACAATTTTTTTTGCGAATTTAAGGATTTTTAATAGGACACGACAGGGTCGTCGAAAAGGGCAGAACAACGTCTGCCTGGCAAGCTAAGTATTATTTTAAAAAAATCAACTCATTCAACAAATATATTTATTTAGTATTCAGCACTTATCGAGCTCCTTTTATAAATACGATTAAGCTCGAAAACCTAACACCGAATTAGCAACACTACGCCTCTAACATGACATTATGGTCTATCGAAGTCCACTGCTGAACATAGGCTACTCCCATATATTACTTTATAGCGGGATTTGGCATGGTTGCCACGCTTGGCAGGCGGGTTGGCAACCGCATTTTTATTAATTTTTTAGTTGTTATAAAGACGCTGCTGCCCACCTCCTGGCTTGATTCCCTCTGTCGCTTCCTACGACACCCACATGACGCTATAGGGTAGCGGATATATCTACACCGTCACTACCATAGAATACTATAATACATACATAATAGAACGGGGGAGTGGGCGGAGCCCGTGAAGCCACTAAAATGCCACTGACACGTCAATTCACACGTATAACTGTCAACACGAGATGTGCTTTGATGTTACAATCGTTTCAAAATTTCGCATGCAAATTATTCAGAAAATGCCAAATTGTACCCTATTTACAAATAAATATGTATTAAAATCCGTCTGTCAACACAGTGAATCGGGTTTGTATTAGTGATTTACTGATAATACGACGTAATTGCTTGTATGTGTGCTCCCGGCGACGCCAACCCTCATACAAAATAGCGTTGACAGCCATTCTATTGTGTATTATAGTATTCTATGGTCACTACACACTCAAATAATAATGTACATTGACGACGATTTACGAACTTAGACAAGTAGATCTCACATCACTATTACTATAGATCGTATCTAGTGTGTATAGATAGTCTAGAAAGACTACAAAAAAGTTTTTGTATCATATTTCGTTTAAAAATAATCTTTGTTGTCAGTTATTATATGAATCACACAGGAGATTTATTGCACACATTTTATTTCTGCACAAAGTAATCAACGAATACATAGATAGCCCTCAATTTATTTGTAAATAGAAAACGTTAAACTTCCCACATGCTCGCAAAAATTATGTTTAGCACTCAATCTTATATCGCGTGCGTTTTTGTACAATATAATTAATAATGATATCTATCTCTCTGTCTTTTCCGTTAAGAGACATTTACTTAAACTATTTATTATATTCAGTTAAATTAAAATGCAATAAATACACAATACTATTGTAAGACATACTACGTTCAAACGAGAAGGGCGTGCGTATACATACGCATATCGCTTAATGCCTTAGCCAAGAGAAATACCGAAGTGGATTAGAAAAAATTGTTAAGAAACTTATTTTAATATTATAAATAAACATCAGTAATTTTGTTTATATACAAATATTTAAGTAATAAACGCATACGAAAATATATTTACCATTTTCTTAAAATGAATGCCTACTGATAAGGGCTCCTCCCAACTAGCCACAGCCGCTTTCAGTCCTTCCAGAAAATTCTTATGCAGTTCATGCAGTTCTGATATTTTATAAAATATCGTGTTAAATTCTTCCTCTGTTATAACGGGTTGTGATGTCGAGAGTGTAGCTTTGATTGCGTTCATATACTGAAATCATACATTAATATTTTATATCTTCCGTAAAATATTCACAACTAAAATAATAATTTAAAATATTACAGTAAAATAAAATAGTTCTATTGTTTCACTTTTATATTCAATCATTATTTAGAGCATGTTCAAATAAAAATCAATATTACCTTCTCCATGACGTAAAGACATTCGACGTACACTGTCTCACTTTCTATGATACTTGTGACTATGCATCGATGCATAGTGAGACGCTCGGCTTCAGCATTGTTACTCGTGTTCGATTCCTGTAACAACATACAAAAGACCATAAGCATTCGTGAGTTGGTATTAATTCCGTTTATATGTTTTATGTTGTTGTGTGAGAAGCGGTGTGAGAGAATCACTGACCCTTATATATATATATAGAGGTCAGTGGAAAGAATCAATCATCAATTTTGTCCGGTGAGTGTCATAACATTTTAAAACATTTTACAAAACAGAGAGTTCTTGAGCCCTGATAGATAGCGACTATTTTATGCTGGATGACCTTTTATACCGTTTGGAAAAAAAATCGGGTGTAACATGTAAACGGATTAGAAACCTATGACACTGATATTTTACAAAAAGTAAAAACTAATAAATAATTAAATAAATAAATTAATTAACATCTATCGAAATTCAAATCATATCCACGCTACTTTACGAATGGCAATAAAACAATAAATTTAGTAGCCAGTCATCTTTGACCTTGTCACTTGAAGGGTCACAGGCTCAAGGGCAAAAGGGCAAAGTTATTGTTAAAAAAAATTCAAACGTTGAATTCAAAATTTTTGTTTTAATTTTTTGTAAAATATCAGGATGCTTCAAATCGGTTCACATGTTACACCCGATTTTTTTTCCAGACGATAAAAAAGGTCAGCCAGTATATATGCCTGAAGTGAAATACCCTGACCCACGACGTTTAGCAGAGTTAAGCGTGCGAAACATTTGGCGTTGAAATCGTGAATTCTTTCTACAACGAAAGAGGCCAATGTCCAACAATATACTTTTATGAGCTGATGAACGAATTTAAGATCCGGTACCATGACCCCTTAACTATTTCTTCCGTAAAATAGCAGTGCCATCACTGCTGTGTTCCGGTATAAAAGGTATAGAGAGTCAATAAAATTACAGGCTGTGAGACATTCCATACAAGTCCCCGGGAGTAGCAACGTATTTAAAGCTTTTCTTGAAATTAGCTGCGGATGTCTACGGGCTGCACTAGTCACTTACCATTAGGTTAGTAGTATATTTGTAGCACGAATGGGTCGGCTCGACCGGGGAAGGACCACTCTCTCACAGAATACCAGCGTAAAATAGTAGCTTAAACTTAATGCTGCTGTGTTTCGTATGGTGAGTGTTGAGAACCGAAGACCCTTTTTACTAGAAACGAGGCATTCCATTTTAGTGCTCACGGGTGACAACGCATCTGTATTTTGATTCGTAATCGAGGATAGATGTAGATGTCTATGGGCCACAGCAATCACGTACTTACCCTTACTTATAAGGTGGACTGTGTGCTCGTTTGTCAACCCTATCCTATAAATATTTGTTACTTCATTTTTATTAAAAAAAACAAGCAGCAGTCGCGCTTACGGACCCTAGATGAATGGGGCAAAGATTACGACTACGAAAATAACAATAAATAGGCATGACTTATTATATATCATATCACGAAGTAGTGCCATCACCGCAATATTTTTTATTGTTAAAGTATGGATTGACATCAAACTACATCGCAAGTTCATTGTTTGAAACTTAATTGGATAATAAGTTACTTTGTGTACTGCTGTCACCCCTGAACTGGTGATGTTAATTATTAGCCAGTCTCTTTATTATTTAATACAATAGATAGAACGGAGAGTTACAACGTAACGCTCAGTTTTAGCTAACTTAAAAGGAGGTTCTCATTTATACTTTGTATGTATTATCCTCAGATTTTAATAATTATTTTTGTAATAATTAGGTTATACTTTGAGAGTAGTCCCATATAATTTTGGAGAAAAATTTCATCCTTTCGCGTATGAAAATAGAAAATAGGGTAAAAAAAAGCTTGTAATATAATTTTTTAGACGAAATTCGAGTCCTTATTTTAAGCTTGTTATATTCCTTAATCAACTAAAAAGGGTCAAATATTTAACTTTTAGCAAAAAGTAAAATCTGACTTTAAAGAAAATTAAAAGAATAAAAATTTTAGTGAACTATATATTTCTTCAATACACATAAAAATTTAAAGTTAAACTTTTCATACATAAATAGTCAACTTACAGATCTAATAACTTTCTTGTAAGTTCTTAGGCAAAGTCTTACAAAAATAAGATTTATAGTCCTAGGTAACTACTGCAAATATGTAAGTAGGTCGTCTGTTTTCGACAAGCCATTTCATCTATCACTTGCGGTATTTTGTTGTAATGTTTATACGTTGCCTTCTGCTATTAGATACAGAACAATGCCTTATATTTATTTATATCGATGTTCTTGAATTAATCATTTTTTCATTACTTAATTTAACTTTTTTAAACTTCTTTCAATATATCCATAAAATTATATATACAGTATGTTAGTGTAAACACCGTTATCCTTGAAACCAGTGGTTTGGTTTCACTTATAGAACGTAAATTCAATGAAAAATAACAACATTTTTTTTAGTAAAATCTCAATTTTTTCTTAATTCCTCAAATTTTGCCTGTCCTAAGCCAGGATGAAAGTATGAAGGAAAAGTTAAGTTGTGTAAGTAGCTAGCGCGGGCGGTGATCTATACAATGATTACGTCACTCGGGCGCATAGGGTATCCATGAATTTACGGACGGTGTCGGACAGAAACTTTTTAAATTTTATGAAAGAAAATAGTTTTTTTTTAATTCATTGAATTTAGGTTCTATAAGTGAAACCAAACAACTGGTTTCAAGGATAACGGTGTTTACACTAACAACCTGATCTAAAATTATTAGTCCTTTTAAATGTGTATGTGGTCAAGAAAAGTTGTTAGTTGTGCTAATGGCTGGAGAGGAAGTGGTTACAGGCCTGCTGCACACCTTGTTTAATTTATGCTGGGAATTGAAGCGGGTACCGGTGGACTGGTGCAAAGCCGTGATAGTCCCAGTATATAAAGGAAAAGGGTCGCAGCAGGACTGTAAAAACTACCGTAGTATCAGCCTTCTTAGCGTTGTGGGAAAACTGTATGCAAGGTATAAGGTATAAGGTACTAATTGAAAGGGTCATGAAAGAAACTGATGAAAAAATTTGGGATGTGCAAGCGGGACTTAGAAAGGGAATGGGATGTACAGATCAAGTCTTTTCCATGCGCATGATTGCGGAAAAGTTTTTGGCCAAAAACCAAAAGGTTTTTTGTGCGTTCATGGACTTGGAAAAGGCCTATGACAGAGTGGATAGGGATGTGCTATGGCAAACACTGAATTCATTTGGGTTGAACGCTGGCTTGATACAGACATTTGAGTCGCTTTATAGGGACTCTAGTGCTTGTGTTAGGATCAACGGGGTCTACTCTGACTGGTTTGGCATCCATAAAGGTGTCAGACAGGGATGTGTGGCTTTCCCGTGGCTGTTCAACCTATTTATGGACAGTTGTTTGCAAAATTTGAAAGTTGAAGAATGCGGATTAAGAATGGGTGAGTTAACCGTCGAATGCCTTTTGTACGCCGATGATCAAGTTATTCTTGCGCTGTCGGCGGCCGAGCTGCAAATGATGGTTACATTAATGAACAGATCATTAAAAGAAAGGGGTATGCAAGTGAACGCAAGTAAGACGAAAGTGATGGTTTTTGAAAGAGAAGAAAGTAAGACGATATGTGAAATAAGAATAGAAGGGGAGTTGATCGAGCAAGTAGATGAGTTTGTATACCTGGGTTGCGTATTTAGCAGGGATGGGAGATGTGATAAGGATATAGAACGACGAGTGAATGCAGGAAATAGAATAAATGGGGCCCTACACTCTATTGTGAATATTGAGAGTCAAAATGTGTCGAAAAAGGCACGTATGGCAATTCACAATGCTGTGTTGGTCCCTACTTTAACGTATGGTAGTGAAAGTTGGGTGTGGCAGAAGAAGCACGAGAGTAGAATGAACGCAGTAGAAATGCGGTCGTTAAGGAGTATGTTAGGGCTGAATCTGAATTAGTGATGCGACGGAAGTGTCATATCGGAAGCAGAAACGGAAACAGATGTTAAAAATATTTTTTTTGCAGAAACGGAAACAGAAACGGATGCGGAAACGGAAATACTACTTATTAAAAAATTACAAATAAAACCTTTAATTAACATTCAAAATTAAGTAGCGGCATGTTATATTTTATGAAAAGTAGTTCGGCTACTTATACACCTAACAATCTGTTCCAGTGTCCTTCATATACAAGTCCAGCTCCGCTAAATAATTGCTCACTGGCGATGCTGCGTATACATCAAAGCTAAATTGGCACTGACATATGGACAGACCCTTTAAACAGCCGCATTTACGTTAAGCGAGTAGGTAACTTAGTACAACCCTAGCACGAAATTACGACGTAAACGAACTTTGAATCCAAAATACTCATTAAAGTGTCTTTAAAATAATTAATATAAACTACAAGTAAAAAATAAATAATATAAATTTCACGTAAAAAATAATTAATATAAACTATACGTTAACATAACTGCTCTTTAATTAATTTTACAAATCTTCGTTGTAACAAAGGCATTTAGTAAAAACTAGTTTTTACTGGAAAAAACACGTTTTAACTAAAAACGGGGTTTAACTATGTATAACATGGGAATCGCCAAGTCGAGCAAAAAAGCGGCACGGCCGTACTATACTTTTCTCGAAAAAATTCAGGCAATTTTTGACCCCCTATAACTTCGTAGTGGATAAAACTAGAATCCTGAATTTTCAGTAACCTAGTAGGAATTGTATAAACATGGTATATTTCACTGACTGACCGATCATCAAAACTGTAAGGCACTTCTAGCAGACATAGAAGCTTCAAATTTAAAATACAATTAGTGTTTACTGTATAAATTAAGGGAAAACTAAAATATTTTTTATTTCGGTCCAGTTTTCTAGATACACCAACTGCATAAATAACTTTGTAATACCATATAAATATATAGATTTACAAAGTTACATTTGCAGTGAATGAATCAGTGTACTTGTATATGCATAATAGGTGTAGATAGGAAAAAAGTAACACTGTCTTATCTACAAAAAGAAATGAGATGCCGATACACAATGTATCTCACAAGTAATACATATTATATTAAATTAGATTGCTTAGTGCGATCGCCAAGTCAACCTATATATTTAAGACGTAAAAGATTTTTAACATTGATGTGGTCTCTATAAAATGTTGTTAGGTTAGCTAATTACGTAATAACTTAAAACAGAAGAACCCTTAAGTAGGGACTGAATAAATTAACCGACTTGGTATTACATGGATCTCACAACTTTTTACGCTAGAACTGAGTTGCGAGACTTGTTTTTTTTTACAAGATATGTTTTTGATGGCATACATTTTAGAATAGGTACGCAATTGACCAATTTAAAAACCTTGACTGACCATTTGTTTTTTAGTTTGCGATGAAAGTTTTACAGTTTCAACTAACTTTTCAAACTGGAAACTCTTCGGTGTGTATCTCTTTAAGATGGCTCTTTATAGCGGTAGTTGTGCGTTCTTTTCGCGAGTATATTTTGTCACATAATTTACATTTGGCTGCTAAATCATCAATCTCAACATAATAATTCCAAACAGGACTCTTTTTTTGCTTCATGATTGCACTTAAATTACACACACGACTCAAATTACTAATTAACTAAAAAAACTATAACAGAAAATCTTACGCGCTTACACTCATGTCACGCCGTATAATAAAGTTAAATCAGTATCTAAACAAACCCGTTGGTACCAGTGCCGAAAGCACGTGCCCAGCTCACTTGTGATTGGTTGAAATGATCCCCCCCCCCTCCTCCGCCCCTCCTCTACTAATGTGGCTGCTGTGTCACTGAGTTCCGTTCAAACTTCCGTTATAAAACTTGCGGAAACGGAAGCAGAAACGGATGTCAAAAACCATGCAGAACTTCCGCAGTTGCAGAAACAGAAACGGAGTTCTGTTGCATCACTAATCTGAATGACAGGGTAAGAAATTGTGTAATAAGAGCAGAGTGTGGTTTGCAAGATGATGTTGTGACCAGGAATAAGAAAGGAATGATTCGGTGGTTTGGTCATTTGGAAAGAATGAATGAGGAAAGAGTGACAAAGAAAATTTATGTTGCAGAAGTGAATGGCAGAGTCGGAAAGGGACGTCCTAGGCGAAATTTTATCGACCAAATTGGCGATTTATTGAAAACGGGTCAAATTAGGAGTACCCTTAACCGACGAGCATGTATGCGTAGGTGTACCCCTCTGGGTGACAGGCGTGAGTGTTTATGTATGTATGTGGTCAAGAAACGCCTTTCAGTGTAGACTAGATGATTATTAAATCAGGAAACACAAATTTTCCAATTAAAAAAAAGTTTTATTTTTCATAAACATGCAATCATGTTAATTTATTTTGTTATTCTTTTAAAATGTAGCACAAAAAATAACACTTTATGCACGCATTCATTTTTGTTGCATAATATGCTTACAGCAAAAAACAATGGGCCTTTAAAGTGCCCTGTTTTATAACAATTCCTTGCTCTGTAAACATTCCGAGTATTCATGTAACTGAAGTTGAGAAATCATAAATTTGTATTGCGCTGATTGAAACATAGACGAAACTTACCAATGAATTTCACCTTCAAAATAGTTGGTACATTATGCTGTATATTTCTTTTAAAATTAGTTGACTGTGTTGATTATGTGACAGACAGTAAGTATTAATTGTAAAACTGTTCAAGTTTATAATATTACATTATGTATTTAATAAATCAAAAATATAAATCATATTAACTTTAGCAGGTTATGAAACGAACCGATTAGACTTATCTCCGTTCAACGATGCAATTCTTTTGAATGATATCGCAGAGATTATTAACGATTTCGACAGTAATACGGTTGGTATAAAATTTTAATTTCTTTTATTTGAAAAATTATTTTAAACCAGATTAAAATGAGGAATCTTATAGCTTAATCTCATCATATATCGGTAAAATAGGATTATTTTTAGTAATAATTTCAGGAGTACAGTTCATATGATACGTTTATCCGCCTAGTCGTCTAGTTCTTCAGTTGTCTTTTGTGGAAAGGTTTACTTTTACGAAACCAGAGTAAGCGGCAACATAATGTATGAATGAAATAATGTAAATGAAAATTCAAGTTCAGTCCACTGGCTATGTGCACTACGGAACGTAAACCACATCAAGGGATTTTTTTAAATTTTTTTTTTAATCATAAAAGAACCATCGGTCCACCCAGGACCATGCTATAAAGCATTTAGAGATATTATATCCTGTAATGCAGCTTTATTACAATCTTTTAAAATAATTATCACCGCAGCTTATACACATATACATTCGTATAAACCAATCATTACAAAATTTGCTTCCATTTCTCTTCTGGAAGATCGGGAGCAAGCAAGTAGCTAACAACTCCGTGTCACTGGCAAACGTAATTCCGTTGAACTGGTCCTTAATGACTGCAAATAGACCGAAGTCACAGGACACAAGATCAGGACTGTATGAAGGATTTTCAAGCAGTTTTACTTAAACATCTTGTAACTTAAGTTTCACGCAACCTATGCGCAGGAGCATTATCGTGATGAAATTGCCAAGTATCAAGTTTTGACTTTGGACGGAGCTCCTTGAGTTTTTGGTTCAGTTTTTTTTTCTTTTGTGTAGCAAGTGGCCGTAAATATACGCCGACTTTCTAAAACTACTCGACCAAAAATTCCTCGTCTTGTGAAAAACACAGCATTTTCTTTTTTCCTGACCGAAATTTTCACTCTGCATACCATTTGTACTTCTTTTAAGTCACGCGGTACCCAATGCATGCAATTTTTTTCACTCCAATTATATCGTGCAGAATTTTATGAATGCTTGGTGCACTAATCTGTAGGATCGCTCCGCATATAAGTTATTCGAAGGTCTTCTCTTATCAATTTTTCACATTACACATTACTATTATTATTTTTACATTATTTTTATATATTAAACATTATTATTATGATTTTGAATAATTAAAAAAATATTAATGAAAATAATATACTTATGAAATTTTAAAAAAATTTGTATAGAAATAATGTTTTACTTTTAAAGCTTATCCAGGTAAACGTCTTCACGAAGAAAATTATATTTTTTCTTACGCCCAGGTACTATAAGTACAACATACGCAAAGACACTCGTAGTATTAACCTTATTACTTTCTAACAGAATATTTTAACAATATTCATATTTGATGTTCGAATAACATAATATGATGTATATTTATTATACTTCAAATGATTAAAACAAATATCAATTGCAGTATTCACCCGTACCGAGTGAAAGTGAAAGTGACGAAAATATCGAAGATTTATTAACAGAATACCAACACTATTTGGATAGAGCTCACAAACAAAAACAAAGTTACGAGGAAAAGGCCAAAACTAAAAACAGGATACCACTAAGACGCCAAGAGAAATATTCGAAGATTAAACCTTTCTCCAACAATAAGTATGAGGATTATTTGAATTCCTTCTCTAATACATTCCATCTTCCAGCGAAACCTATTAATAACCAATTAGATCTATTTGTTCCTTTGAACCCAGATTTGAGTTATTTTAATAAAGTGGAGTTAAGTAACCCGGCTTATAAAAATAATCAAGAGAACAGAGAGAGAACAGTAATCAGTGAAAAGAAATTCATGAATTTGCCGTCTCCTTTCCCCATAACTGACTATCATTCAGTAAAACAATCCTGCATCTGCAAAGACAATCGAATGCCATGCAATTGCAACTGCAAGCACTGTTTAACATCATTAGATACCACTTTGTACGATAATGCTGATCAATCAAAACGCATAGATCTTGATGATAACAGAATTCAGGCTTTCGGCGCGTCAGCACTGATAAGTGGTAATATGTTAGAAAAACCAGCATTTTCAAGTTCTTTAACAGGAGTAACCGATAATGATCTGAATATCCATATAAAAGTAGATATACAACTACCAAAAATATTAGAAAATATTCTAAAATTTAAAAATCGTAGCCAGGATAAAACTATAGAATCCGATGGGAAAAATTCTAAAGAAGTTAGGATTTTCATGAACTCACCGGTTTCCAAATTTAATTTTCCTGTACCTTTTGAAATTTTTGGACTGAAAAAACCAATGCAATTTAACAAAGATGATTCTACAAGTTTACATAAAATAATAATACATAAGAAAAAGAAAACAAAATTAAATAACAGTGGCAATAAGAAACACAAAAAGAAAATAATAACTTTCCATAACATTAAGGTCGAACCTCAACATTTTCCACTAATTAAAATCGATGAAAATAACAATAGCAGTTACGTTAATCGCGGGATTGAAAACATCAAAATGAGACCGCAATTGCTCGTTCAATTCAATCATACTCAAATAATTGAAAATGCAACTTTCAATCAAAACGTTACTACCACAAGTCCTTTATTCAATGAAAGTAGAAAAGAAGAAAGCAAACCTGAAATGGCAATTATTGCTCCCGTTACAATTTTTAATAAAACAGACAAATTTGAAAACAGTATTGAAACAGATTACATCAACACTAAATTAAATATTTCTACTGATGCACCACAAAGTTTACGAAGCAGGCGTTCAGTCATATATCGAAAATCATTAACACCCAACAAAAATAACGCACCCAAAAAAACGTTAACAAAAACTATAAAAGCAGCGTCTACAAGTATTAAAGAAAATGATTTCAAAACTTTGACCGCAGATGCGGAACTTTTATATTGGCCAAATAATACAAGAAATTATAACTCCACCACTGTAAACAACATTACAGAAATAATTTTAGATAGAGAAAACAAAAAGGTAAAATTAAACATATCGCAAGAGAGCATACTTAAAAACCGTTCGATAGCTCTTGAACAAGCTATATTTGGAAATGTCGATTGGAATGACGTCGACACTGTAGCTCCCGTGTTCATGTCCTTTATGGGCAAATACATTACAGGAGTTTTGACATTTTGCTCCCAAAAAATATGTCATTCTATGAAATGTTCTGAGAAGATCTGCATCCACAGAATGTGTTTACCCGTAGACAGGTTTAATCAAAAAGGTCATTGCGCCGGATCAAACACGACAGGTAAGTAACAGATTTGTCATTTTATACTATTGACACATTTCACAAGGTTAAAAACTGCAGTCACTGCAGAAATCCATCACTAATGAAAAGGGAAACAAATATTTTGTTAAGATTTGCACTAAAAATTAAAGTATTACGTCATTGCTGTACTAATGTTAAACACTCGCTGCTCGCTGAAACAGGACGCCGCCAGCTGTGGTTTTTGTTGCACTTACGGGCCTTACGGCAAGCATAGTGACGCGCCACTGTCACACTGTGTGTGTGTGTGTGTTTATATTACGAAAAGTAAAGAATATAAAGGAAAAAGAAAACTTTTCAATAATTATATTATTGGTCAAAAATACATAGGTACTTAGACTAAATAAAATGAGTACCGCGCGCCAGCACACACTATTATTCATCTTTCTAGGAATCAGTAATCGGTTATCGATAAGCAACGCACAGCAAGCGTCTGTCCCTAGCGCACTGATGATTTATGGCACCACGGGTAGCGAGTGTTTAACATTAATGGTTTTTACTGTTATCCTTCCACAATATAAAAGAATATATTTTTATATATATGGTTTAGTTGTTTTACACGTGGTATGGCCATGCTGCAGCTATATTATAGTTCTAGCACGAATGTTTCGGCTCGTCAGGGCAGGGACTATGCTGTAACAGAATACCAGCGTAAAATAGCTCCTTAATGCTGTTGAATGTTGTAAGGTGTGTGTAGAGAATCGGCGACCCTTTTTACGAACGAAACACAGATTTCGTTGCCCCTCAGTGGTGACAACACATCTGCATTTTGATTCTTAATCAAGCATAAATGTAGGATGCACTTACCATCATCATGTAGACTGTACGCTTGTTCGCTACCCTTATTCCATAAGAAATGCTCAATACAATAGTGAATAGCACAATACAATAACTTGCATAATCCAACTATTACCACCACCCCCGTCATTCACTTTATATCTCGGCAATATAGGTCTAACACGGATAAATAAATCTGCCACTTAATCACAAGGGCACTTTATAAAATGAGTACATTATATATATTGAGAATAAGAGTTATGTTAAAGAGTCGAGTCGGCAAGGGATGCCCTAGACCTAGACAGAAGCTTATCAAACAAATTGGCGAACATTGGCGGCTTATCTAACGAGCATCTTTGCGTAGATACGATATGAAAGTGGCGAAAGAGGTGTTTCGGGATCGTGGCAAAAAAAATAGAAATTGATTTTTAAATAGAAATAGATTTTTATGTAAATAACACTTTATTATTTTTCAGATAGCGTGGCTACAATGGAAACAATTATGGATTTACCATCAAACATAGCATTCGAAGTTGTTGATATTTTACAAGATAAAATGTTGGGCAAGATGTTTGGAAAGGTGACACTTTGTATCAATGCGAAGTGCATCAGCTTGGTAGCGTCAAAGAAAAACGTTTTAAAGGCTAAATGTTCTATTAAAGAACTGAATGCATTAGGACATTGTACGAACTTCAAACACTTTAAAGTAATGTAATAATAGTATTATTGTTTAGAAAATAAATGGTAACTCTGAAACAGAAATATTATGACTACACCATTTTATTGCACCTACCTTTTCACAGTAGCTGATAAGTAAGCAAGCCTTCTTTTTAGTTTGAGCTAAAAGCAATGAATCTAATTTTACAAAGTTATGTAATTTTTTTAGTAAGAATCATATTAATCTTTGAATTTTTAAGTGTGCTACTTGTAAAATCAAATACGTTTAAAGTGAGTCTTATGGTATATTAAATAATAATTAATATAATCTACATTTAACGTAAAATAACAATCAATGTTTTATTTTATAGAGTAAGAATGTTTATATAAATCCGTGGGACTCTGCTAAAAAAAGAGATCCTTCAAAGATAATTCATTTTAATTCAATTGGAGATATTTCGGAAGAAAATATATCATCGGAAGTACTAGTAAATTTAAAAAGAATAGTACAAATGTATGGACGAAGTTTAAATTTAAAAGACCTTTTAAAAGAAAACAATATGAACATAGAGAATCCTAAGATTTTTCAACACCTTATGCAAGAGATGTACGCAGAATCTGCAGCTCCGAAGAAATTAAAGATATTAACCAACTGTATAGAACACGACACGTTCTGCAGGTTCTTGGCTTGTCCAGATATAGACAAACATTGCGTTTTGTGTGAAGTGAATATGACAAGTAACGATGAAAACTCTACAATTTGCAATATAGAACCTACGGGACATTTAGCACTTTAAAATATATGTTTTGGGATACCTAGTGTTTAATAATTAGTTAATAATTTCTACAAATTTACATTACAAAAGGCAGGCTTAATTCCTGCCCGAGCCAGCCGACAAATGGCGAGTCAAAATAATGTGGTGCAATAAAGTGGTCTAAAATAAAAATGTGTTGTAAATTAAACGACAGAAAAATTTTTCAAGCGAGGCAGTTTAAATGAAGAATGTATAACTTCAGCGTTTTTTCATATTAGATTCGTATTTTTAAACTTCATGATTTAGTTAAACGAAAGCATTTCTTGCAGCGATTTACTTTTAGGAAGCTTTAATAAACAAAACCAGGATGCGTTATGTAGCGGAGTGTCCTTATCGGTCAAACAATGTTATGTTAATCTCTCATGAAATAGTTAAGCGTTATTCCTTCTAGACGATGAAGTTAAAAGTTTGTACGCCTTAACAGAGTTATCTTATTCTTTTTTGTTTAAATACGTTGAACGTCATTTTGGGATAATTAAAAGTTTAGTCGGTGTGTTCATTCGTAGCTCATTATGTAAACATTCCCAAGGGCTTATCTCGCGATAGGGACATACGGGGCTATAGCGTATATAAACCTCAGGTAGGACTGTACAAACATTTATTCCTTTGAAAGAGCCAAACGCGTGTTACCTGTCGTGATGTTGATTTCCAACAAATTGGTGCCATTCTTTGTATTGTGTGTAATCAGCACATCGCATAGTAGCCCCACTGAATGTAAGTACATTTATAATACTAAGCAGTTTTTTTTAAAGGCGTGAGACGTGTATGTTCCATGTAGCAATAACAGATTTAATTTATATATACATATATCATTTTTGAAAAGGTAGCATAACATATAGGACGTGCTGCCGCGGCCGCTATGCGTATCTTGAAATTTTCAACTTTACGCCCGGTAGTCCAACATTAAACGTCCTATAACTCAAAAATTATGGACATTAGAAAAAAAGTTTGAAACAAAAGTTGTAGAGAATAAACTCATCTTTAAAAATGGATTGATGCATTTTATTGATTAATCTAATATTTCAAGAGTTATTGGCCGCGATAGAAAAACAGGTTCATTAAATGGGTCATAAATCGTAAACGGTAAGTTTTGCAAAAAAGTTTTACTGGAAACAAAAGATGCGAAATTTTATTTTCTACAATAATGGTCTGTATAACTTTTTTCTTAAAGTGCATAGTTTCCGAGATATCGGCTGAAAACGTTTTTTCAAGAGGGCGCTTGAAGCGCCACCTGAATCTGTCAGCATTTTGTGATTTTATGCTCAGTAAGTGATACTAAGCCTTATAAAAAAAAATGGGATCGGAAATTTTGTGCAAAGTTAAATTTTATTTTTACTGTACTAAGGAGGTTTCCAGTTAAAACATTTCTTATCAAAAGTTTTCTTGTTTTGAGAACCCGCAGATATATGGAATATTAGCTTAGCCTCATAAAGATTCACAAAAACACTGCATATATACATAAATGCCAAGCTCATGCGCGCTTGCACACATGAAGTGAAATGAATAATAATAATCTAGAAATAAATAAATAGTAAATAATCTCTATATAGTGGGATGACCTTTTTTACCGTCTGGAAAAAAATAGGGTGTAACATGTGAACGGAGTAGAAGCGTATGTCACTAATATTTTACAAAAAATAAAAACAAAAATTTTGATTTAAATAAATACATTAATTAAAATCTATCGAAATTCTAATCATACCAAACCTACTTTACGAACGACATTAAAACAATAAAAGTAGGCATCTTTGACCTTGTCACTTCGCAGGGTCACAGGCTAGAATGGGTATGATTTGAATTTCGATAGATTTTAATTAATTAATTTATTAAATTGAAAATTTGTGTTTTAAATTTTTTTGTAAAATATCAGTGCCGTATGCTTCTACTCCAGTCACATGTTACACCATATTTTTTACCAGACGAATATAAGCGAAATACCACTGATTCATCACAAGATCTTAAAACTATACACCAGATTGACTTGAAATTTAGTACAGCTTTTCATTTCGCATTGTAGACGACCACTAATAACGAATTTTACGATAGTCAAACGAAAATATTATCGTACAGCGAGTATCAGCTAGGAAAAATATAAACCGCAACATTTTTCGTTACGTGCAGCTGTACTATGTACGCACATTATGTACCCGTTCTGAGGATAGGGAAACCACTTAAATAATTATTGTTTAAAATTTTCTTATTATATCTTAATAACTTTTACAAAATTAAGTTTCCTTGGCCGTATAAAAAATTCTTTTCTACAGAGTCATTCAAAGTTACTTATCGAATTTACATTTCATCATCGATATGACATTGTCTAACATCTTATATTGTCGCTTGCAGATATAGGTGAAGGACGCGGTATTGGTTCCACAATATGGGGGTGGATAACATATCCTTTCACATGGTGGAGTTCAGGGTCCGAAAATGATAATGATAATAAAGTTGAATCGACAACGTCCATTTTCACCCATGATAACAACATAGAAATTGCTAAGCACAATGTGACCGTGTGGTGCAATGATCAGACATGCACTACCATGAAATGCGATAAAAACGGCTGCTTAAACCTCACATGTAACATATACGATACTGATATGTCCGGTGTATGTAGAGAATATACAATCAAGCCAGAAGACTCTACACAAACTACCAAACCCACATCACAAGTCACGGAAGAGCCAAAGAAGACGACCGAGGCAACATCTACGATGGAAACGTCTTCTTTACCTGCCAACCCCATTGAAACGTCTTCTATACCTGCCAATACCAACATGGGAGTTGAAGATCGCCCTCTGGAGCTAGAAGCAGTTTTGTCCTCCACAGTTAATGACGGTGACATAAAGCTTGAAGAGGCTACCGATTAACGAAAATTAAAGAATAAAATGTTGGTAATAAAAATATTACCGGTTTTGGAGTATGTTTTTAAAATATAATTTATAATAAATTTTAGGCTAAAAAATATAGTAATACATATATACTTATAGCTTATACCATAATTTTGTAAATATCTTTAATATTTTAGTATTTAAGAACTTATGTGTAGTAAATTAGATCAGTATGTTATCAGAATTCAAATAAATGTACCACGATAACGACGGGTAAGTTTTTAAAACTAAGGTGTCGCAACACGAAGTTTTACTCATAGAAATCATTGAAAATTATAAAATATGTATAATATTACAACACGCGGCATACTTATCGTAAATTTTGTGACATATTTTTGCTGTCATCTATTTTATAGAGATATAATAAAAACTGAATAAATACAAGACGCTATAATTACTTGCCGTTCCCTTGTATAGACCTTATAAGGTGCAAGATTCTAACTATAAAGTTTTTTTTTATAGGAAAAGGGTGACAAGCGAGCACACACTCCACCTGATGGTAAGTGGTTGCTGTGGCCCATAGACATCTACATATCTCTTGCGAATCAAAATAAAGATGCGTTGTCAGCCTTGAGGACTAAGATGGAATGCCTCTTTTCCAGTAAAAAGGGTCTCCGGTTCTCTGCACTCACCATTAGAAACACAGCAGCATTAAGCTGCTATTTGACGCTGGTATTCTGTGAGAACGTGCCGGTCGAGCCGACCCATTCGTGTTACAACTATATTACTAATATAGCTGCAGCATGGCTCTACCACGTAAAACTAAAGTGATTAATTTAAGTAAATCATCAAATTGCCTAGAATTTACCACTGAGTAATACTTATGTATATAAGCTAACTTAATGGTATAACTTAGTATAACAGAATTTTTGTATTTTTTATATAACTCAGTTAAAAATGCTCATATTAATGTCTTAGCTGCCAACTACAAAAAATACAGTAATACAATATGTAAAGTAATTAACGCACACCCTCAGACACCCCAATTAGTATATTATGTTATAATCATAATACATACACTGAATTTTTAGTTAAACATTTTTATGCATTGATTATTTATCAAATTAGTTATACTAATTCCGGAAGAATGTTGTAGTCACAGTACAAATCCGAGAACTCAAAGACTTTAACTTGCTTGAAATAAAGTTCATTTTTCTTTATTTTTATTGAATGACAAAATTAGTATTAATACAAATAAAACTGCACTCTTAAAAGTCTTATTGCCTTAAGTTTGTTTTGACTGTACAGATTTAGTGCGACTGTAATTTACGTAGTTTTAATTATTTTTGGGATAAAAAATTACCTATATTGAAAATGATAGGAATCGATTCAGTAAACGATTCTGAACAAACTACTTTCTCAAAGTGCGTTAATTTACGTTACATATTGTGTATAACATCCCGTAAAAGCGAAGCCTCACAGTATGTTGTGGCTAGCGGCGGCATCTTTAAACAGCTCAATATAGCGTCTTGTGTTGTCACGTTGCGGCAGCGAACCCACTCTGACCTTCTGGATGTGTAGTATCCAAAACTCTGAACACTACGTCACAGGGTCATCAATACAAAAAATATGTACTGCGAGTAATTTCTCAGTCCTCTCACCCTGTCTCAATCTCCCATTCCCTGATTTAGAAGGAACATTTTAATCAGAGACTACTCGTTACTAAATATAGATTAAATAGAGAGATTTCGATTTAACGTTAAATCGAAATCTCGTACATTATGCTTTACCTCTTTTTTGTCACACCTACAAATATTTTGTCTGTTAATACGAGTATGTTCGAATAACAATAAACAAGAAAGGTCTTTCTTACTTTGTTATTTGTTAGTTTTAGCTTATTACGAAATAATTATTGTGTTTACTAAATACACTAATGTCGTCATACTCGTTTTTACCCATAAGGTAAGTGGACAGATAACGAGCAGAAATTAAGTAAAGATAAGAAGACAATTAATGATTCATCTGTAACGCAACTCGATAATGAACGTTCACTGTCCATAAACATAAATATAATATTCATTTTAAGTTAGATTGCTGTTGACCCAGTAAAACAGTCTTTAATCTTTACTCTGTTTATCTTCAAACATATTTCAAAGAATGTTAACTGTGCTAATAGTCGTAACACCATACCTTTCTATTAAACTACATGTTTTACCGAATAAGATTAAAAACTAGAAGTATTTTTTCCAAAATATTAATGCGAAGATAAAAAATATTACACATATCGTGCGTTAGTGTTATATACATCCCCTATATGTAAATAGAATGGAAATGTCTTTTAAATGAGATTTTAAACTATCAAGGTTCAAACTCCACAATCTACAACCTAAATCACACCCTTTCCCTCCTTAACCTTTTATTATTGCAACAAAATCTGGAAAGTGTGTAATAGATAATGCCTTTTTACTGCGCTTATTTTCAATTAAAAAAAACTACAACTTATTTAGAAAATATTTAAGATTTAAAGTGTATTTCGGACTATGTGGTAAGAACAGCGGTTCAGTAATTTTTGCCACACATTGCCATTAGCCAATTTCTGAAATTTTTACTACCTTTTTCCATAACTTGCTTATGAACGCACAGATACCTAATTACGTATTATCTAATTGAAGCTTCTATAATTCTGTAAGCAGTGCCGGCGTGCAATTGAAAGAAAAATTAGTCATCGATGACGATGTTTAAGCACGGCGTCACTATAGTAATATGAGTAAGTTATGAGTGATGGAGATATTATAGCATCATAAGTATTTGTATTTTTGCCAAGTTATCAATTCCTTCGGGGCTTCAAGCCCAAGGTACTTGCGTGTTAGTCGTCAGAAACTGTGTCTACTGAGACATGCAGTCGTAATTAAGTTTTTTTTTATAAAATAAGGGTGACTAATGAGCACACAGTCCACCTGATGGTAAGTGGATGCTGTGGCCCATAGACATCTACATCTATCCTCAATTAAGAATCAAAATGCAGATGCGTTGTCACTCCTGAGGACTGAGATGGAATGCCTTGTTTTCAGTAAAGAGAGTCTCTGGTTCTCTACACTCATCATACGAAACAGGAGCATTTATCTGTTATTCTATGAAAGCGTGGTCCTACCCCGGTCGACCCATTCGTGGTACAAACCATAATATAGCTGCAGCGTCGCTCTACCACGTTATTAGAATGGTTAAAAATAAAACTGACATCAAGCACCTAAAAAGAAATAATTTTCACATACATTAATAGTTTCTGAGCTAAGACAAAGTGAATCAAAGAATTAAAGTTTCGACTTCAGAAGCTAATAAATTAGGTAGAAAATATTTACTTATTTTTAGTTTGATGTCGGTTTTACTAATAATGTATAATCATTTCAACCTATTGAGTGGATTAAAAGATCTCAAAGCTCAAGGTGACAACTAGATTTTGTGTATCTCGTTACATTAAAAAAATAATCTATATCTCTCCAACTTTAAATATGGAAATTTTTATTCAAACTGGGGATAATCCAATCAATAAAAAAAAAGAATAAAATCGATTCGCAGGTGAATTGAGCACCTTGAAGTCGGTTAAAAAAAGCACTTATACGAGGCGTTCAATTTTATGCCTCATGGATGACAACGCATTTTGATTCCTAATCGAGGATAGATGTAGATGTCTATGGGCTAACGGCGTCGACTTTCCATCAGGCTGTGTGCTCGCTTGTCAAACTCGTCAAATTTTTCCATGCTCGCCTGAGGGGTTTTATATTAGACTAGCGAACCGCCCCGGCTTAACACGGAAGATTTCTGGGTCTCGACAACAGCGCCACCTTCCGGGTCCAATCAAGTTTTTAAACATTCCAGGCACCCACTTAAATACACACAGAAAACTCATCAAAATCGTTCGAGCCCTTTTTGACTTTTTGCGAGTCTAATGAACAGCAATTGATGTTCATATCTATATAATAAAGAAGATAAAACGATAGCGTATTTAGTATTTTACTCTATCTGACACTGATTTGAATAAAAAGGTGTAACGTTGAAATATATAAAGATAAAAAGTGAAACGATTTAAATAATAATTTTAATTGTTTTATAAAATTAAAAAACAAACAGCATACAAAACAAAACTCAAATACTAAAAATATGAGTACAAAAAATAGAAAATTATTAAAAGGATAGCCATGGTAGAAGACAAACGCTAGTTTACATAATGATTTCTTATATCGCTAGTGCTATCCATTAACGTGTTTTTTAATTGCTGATGTATTATAGTGATTAGCGATAAAGAAATAACATCGCATATATATATATATATATATATATATATATATATATAGTACCCGGTTGACCGAGCTTTGCTCGGTATTTTTCGCTCGGTTTAATTTTTAATTCGTGTGTTTTGGAAATTATATTTAGATACAAATTACATACTGATGAAATACGAATAATATTTTTTGATCTTAGCGACATAATAGAAAAAACTGAACTGGTTATATGAATAAAAAATCATGTGTACAATTAGTTTAATTTAAATTTTCGCGTTTTTAAAAAATAATAAAAAAAAGGGCACGAAAAAATTGATTTTATCAAAAAAAGAAAGGAACTTGAAAAATAATTAAAAAAAGTCGGTCGGTCTGGGCTCGAACCATGGTATTACGATATTGTGACCGCCCAATATACCAATTAAGCTATTTGTAATCATTAATAAACTGTCAAAATTTACCTTCTTATTCTAACGATATTGTAGCAGTTTTTCATTGCCTAAAAACATGAACAAAAAGACATTTTCTAAAAATAAATCCTAGCTAGATCGATTTATTGCCCCCGAAACTCCCTGCACACAAAATTTTATGAAAATCGTTGGAGCCGTTTCCGAGATTCAGATTATATATATATATATACAAGAATTGCTCGTTTAAAGGTATAGGATATATAATGTGTATGTTGTTGATAAGTAGTCTACCGATTCAAGCGCTCAGTACAAGAATATTCACATGTTGCCACTTCTTTTTAGGCATTCTCACCTGGTGTTGCAGTTTTCTTAGTAAAGGCGGCGTTGCGCTGGTTTCTGTTTCAGAGGAAATAGTCCGCAGCAACAGCGGTGTATCACTTGAGTCCGCTAACTCCGAGCCTGCTTCACTAGGATCAGTTCCCTCACCGCTTTGCCTATCAAAATATAAAAATAAAGTTTAAGTTAGTTTAGTTAGTAACTTTCATTAAATCATAATAAATAATTCTTCCTCGTGCTTGCTTCAGTATATATACATACAATATAAAAATAAATAAGTGCGCAGTTCACACGTGGTAGAAGTGAAAACTTCAAATGAAAAGAAATATAAAACGATAATATATCACAGAGAATTATTTATTTAATATGATCATTTTCAATCACCAATGAGGTATAAAATCTATATAAATAAGCAAAATTGTAGTGCCTTTGTGACTGCCTCGTTGGTCTAGTGGTTGTATTAGTGCGACTGCTGATCATGAGGTCCTGGGTTCGAATCCCGGGTCGGGCAAAAAAATTAATTATTGAGTATTTCCGTCAAGAAATTCTCAGTAGCTGCCCGGAGAGAGGAAGTTGACGGTGTCTCACCCCCGTGCCTTGGAAAGGACGTAAAGCCGTTAGACCTGCGCCTGATCTCTCTCCGGTCGTGTCGGTTTACCGTCCCATCGTATTATGAGAGTGAGGGAATAGAGAGTGCACCTGTGCTTGCGCATACACTTGGGCACTATAATCCTGTCCTGCGCCGATGGCTAGTCTCCGTTGAGGCTGGCCGCCGTGACCGAAATTCGGTCTGGAGGACATTATTAGTGCCTTTGTGATGTCAAAATAACAGCTTTTTACTTAATGCATATAATATAATATACGGTACTTAAAACAAAAAATTTTCAATTTTTTAAATGTCCGTCTGTCTGTTGCGGCTAATCTCCGAAACGGCTGGACCGAAATAGTTGTTGTTATAAGGACTAACTTAGGCTATTTTTATTTTAAAAAAAGAATTAGGGTTACGCAAGAATTTTTTCTCTCGAGTAAAATTGCTTCGTGTCGGATAAGTCTTATCCGACATACATACATACATACATACATAAACACTCACGCCTGTCACCCAGAGGGGTAGGCAGAGACTACAGACTTCCATTTGGCACGATCCTGACACACCTTTCTATCGCCTCCTTCACATCCATACACCTACGCATACATGCTCGTCGGTTAATGGTACTCCAATTTGGCCCGTTTTCAATAAATCGCCAATTTGGTCGATAAATTTTCGCCTAGGACGTCCCTTTCCGACTCTGCCATTCACTTCTGCAACATAAATTTTCTTTGTCACTCTTTCCTCATTCATTCTTTCCACATGACCAAACCACCGAAGCATTCCTTTCTTAATCCTGGTCACAACATCATCTTGCAAACCACACTCTTCTCCTATTACACAATTTCTTACCCTGTCGTTCAGATTCAGCCCTAACATACTCCTTAAGGACCACATTTCTACTGCGTTCATTCTACTCTCGTGCTTCTTCTGAAACACCCAACTTTCACTACCATACGTTAAAGTAGGGACCAACACAGCATTGTGAATTGCCATACGTGCCTTTTTTGACACATTTTGACTCTTCACAATAGAGTGCAGGGCCCCATTTACTCTATTTCCCGCATTCACTCGTCGTTCTATATCCTTATCATATCTCCCATCCCTGCTAAATACGCAGCCCAAATATACAAACTCATCTACTTGCTCGATCAACTCCCCTTCTATTCTTATTTCACAAATCGTTTTACTTTCTTCTCTTTCAAAAACCATAACCTTCGTCTTACTTGCGTTCACTTTCATACCCCTTTCTTTTAATGATCTGTTCATTAATGTAACCATCATTTGCAATTCGGCCGCCGACGACGCAAAGATAACTTGATCATCGGCGTACAAAAGGCATTTGACGGTTAACTCACCCATTCTTAATCCGCATTCTACAACTTTCAAATTTTGCAAACAACTGTCCATAAATAGGTTGAACAGCCACGGGGAAGCCACACAGCCCCGTCTGACACCTTAATGGATGTCAAACCAGTTCGAGTAGACCCCGTTGATCCTAACACAAGCACTAGAATCCCAAAGAGACTCCAATGCCTGTATCAGCCAGCGCTCAACCCAAATGAGTTCAGTGTTTGCCATAGCACATCCCTATCCACTCTGTCATAGGCCTTTTCCAAGTCCATGAACGCACAAAAAACCTTTTGGTTTTTGGCCAAAAAACTTCTCCGCGATCATGCGCATGGAAAAGACTTGATCTGAACATCCCATTCCCTTGCTGAATCCCGCTTGCACATCCCAAATTTTTCCATCAGTTTCTTTCATGAACCCTTTCAATCAGTACCTTAGCATACAGTTTTCCCACAATGCTAAGAAGGCTGATGCCACGGTAGTTTTTACAGTCCTGCTGCGACCCTTTTCCTTTATATACTGGGACTATCACGGCTTTGCACCAGTCTACCGGTACTCGCTTCAGTTCCCAGCATAAATTAAACAAGGTGTGCAGCAGGCCTGCCACGACTTCCTCTCCGGCCTTTAGCATTTCGAGTGAAACTCTTCATATCCGGCAGCCTTACCTGCTTTCATGCTTTTCATTGCTTTCATTATTTCATCTATACCTATCTCGCTACCTCTTTCCTCTTCTTTCGTAGTTTCTACTTCACTTAGTACACACTTTGTCTCCTTAAACTCAAAACTTCATCTTTCAGAATATAGCCATTCTCGTCTCTTACAACATTCATCATAGGCTGTTTTGAATGTCCCCTGGCAGTTCTTACAAGTTTCCAGAACATTTTAATATTTGCCTGGAAGTTATCCAATCTTCTTCTATCATTCTTATCCGTTCTTTCTTGCTTTTTTCTTTCAACTACTTCTTTTACTCTCTTATTAAGATGTTTAAAGACTGACTTTTTTCTTTCAATATCATCATTCGTACCGCTAGAATTACCAGCCTTTGTTGCTAGTAAATCTAGCCATGCTCTCTTCTTTGCTTCAACTTCCATACGTATCTCATCATCCCACCATAACGTATTATTTTTTCTTTCATTCTTCCTCTTACTAACACCACATACTTTGGTAGCTGCATCCACTAAACCTTTCTTATCCGACACTACACTTCTTATATCCAGGACGTCAGTCTAAGCAAGATTAGAATGGCTCTCCAGCACCTTAAAAAATGCAAGGCCCTTCTGGTCTACCTGGTGATCTTCTGGTCTACCTAACTCATAGATGGGCGGAGGCAGTAGAGTCCAAGGGGGTGGCTGGAGCAACCATTGGCCGTTAGTTTGGACATTGCGAAGGCCTGCGATCGGGTTTGGCACAAAGCGCTTCTTTCGAAGCTCCCTTTCTATGGACTTCCCAAGAAATTGTGCAATTGGATCACCAGCTTTCTTGCAGATCGGAGCGTCAAGATAGACGGTGCAAGCTCCGATTACAAGCCTATTAATGCTGGTGTTCCACAAGGCTGTGTGCTATCGCCAACGCTGTTTCTTCTGCATATCAATGATATGTTGCAAACCCGTAACATTCATTGCTATGCAGATGACAGCACTGGTGATGCTGTACACCATGTCTGTACACCGGCCGTGCCAATATTTCTCGGGAAAACGTCTCCGAGTACCGGGACAAACTTGTGTCTGAAGTCGCGTCTTTGCTGAACAGAGTCTCGGATTGGGGGCGACTAAGTCTAGTCCAGTTTAGCCCTCAGAAGACACAAGTTTGCGAGTTAAGAAAGAACCTTGTTTGTTGTGAGTTGAGAAAGAACCCCTTTGTCGTATCTCCTCAGTTTCAAGGCACTCCCCTTGTTGCCTCAGCCAGTATAGGAATCCTCGGCGTCGACATATCGAGTGACGTGCAGTTTCGTGGTCACTTGGAAGAGAAGGCCAAATTGGCCTCAAAAAAGCTTGGCGTGCTCAGCAGAGCGAGACAGTATTTCATGCCGGCACACAGTCTGTAACTATACAAGGCGTAGGTTCAGACGCACATGGAATACTGTTCCCATCTCTGGGCTGGAGCTCCTCAGTACCAGCTCCTTCCACTTGACCGCATCCAGCACAGAGCGGCTCGAATCGTCAACGACCGAGTGCTTTCCGATCGGCTCGATTCACTGGCGCTGCGAAGAGATGTTGCATCTCTTTGCATTTTCTTTCGCAAATACCATGGGGAGTGCTCTGAAGAATTGTTCGGATTAATCCCAGCCGCTAAATTTCGTGAACGCACTACGCGGCAAACGTCCCGATACCATCCATTCCATGTGGATGCTTGGCGGTCTACCACTGTACGTTTCACAAGGAGTTTTCTTCCGCGTACGACCTCTCTGTGGAATAGTTTACCACCGGCGATTTTTTCGGACCGATACGACGCTCTTCTATAAAAAAATGCGAGGATGGAATTACAGCGGAGTTTTTGAAAGCGGGTGAAAAACCGATAGTTAAAGTCCTTCAGAAGCTATTTAATTCCGTCCTCCATGGTGGAACCACTTCGGAGATGTGGAGAAGATGTGCGATGATCTTGTCCTTCAAGAAAGGCGACAACACTCTCTAGAAAAATTACAGACCGATTACCCTTCTGAGCCGCGTCTACGTGCTGTTTTCGAGAAAGTCGAAAGCCTCCCGAAAAAACCAGTTTTCGAAGGCTTTAGTACCATAGACCACACAAATACTCTTCGGCAAATTGTACAGAAGAAGAGGAGTACAATCTGCCACTGTGCCGTTCATATGCGGACTATGAGAAAGCCTTTGATTCCGTCGAAATTTATGCGTTGCTAAATTTGTGCAGTTCTTTCAGCAGTGCAAGTTGACTGTCGGTATATCGAAGTGCTAAGTGTTTGTACAGAAGGGCTATCCGAAGGCATATCACGACGATAAATATGGCTATCCGAGTACAGAACAAGAGAATGAAATCTATCCAACTGCAGAGAGGTGTAAAACAGGGTGACGCTATCTCTCCGAAACCTCACTGCTGCACTGGAAGACGTTTTTAAGCTACTGGATTGGAAAGGAAGATGAATTGATTGTTATAAATGGATTGGCATATGAAGGTAATTCGTAAATTTTTTATATTGTTTATTTTAACAGTTAAAATTTTTAATAACCATCTTTAAAGCACCGCACAAAGAGGAGACCGAGACAGAGGGAAAAAAGATAGTAGTTGAATGGCGGATTTAAACTCACGACTTTTTGAGTTCACGGGATACACTGTATTCTATTTCATTCTCTCGCAGGCTAAATCCTATAGATGTATATGTTTGTCTCTTTTTAGTGTTACTTTTTCGTTTCATCGAGTTTCCAATCACAACAATTCTAAAGAAGTTTTCACTTCAAAAAAATATTTCGAAACTATAGGATTTTAGGAATTACATTATTTCGTAAAAACGTAAGTGTAGGGCGACCACCTAATAGATGGAGGGACGACCTGGTAAGTGATGAAAGTCGAAATTACGTGGCTCAGACCTTGTTTTGTAACTTTCCTAGGGGGAGGCTTACGTTCAGCTATTGATTTGTGAGATGGGCTGTAATGACGATGATGATAATAAAAACATAACGTATAATTAATTTTAGAAAATTCATCACTATTTTTCAGGCAAAGATTTACGCAATTGTACATTGCAAGAGAGAACAGGCCTGACAGTACTAAGATGGGTTCCAGTACGTGCGAAATTTATAGGCAACAAAAAGGTCGAAAAACGCATGCAACGCGTCAAAAAGAGCACATTTTGAACCAAAGACATTTTGTGGAATACCAACTAAAGAACGATTGACCTATGAAAGCCTTTATCACGAGAAGTCTCGACACCTGGTCAACACTGGGCTTAAATTATTCCAAGAATGTAATCCGGCGTATGAACATAATTTTACTTCAGAAGCCCTAGGATTAAATAACAACAAGCTACGTATTTTGGTAAGAGCCCTATGACTGGACATTACTGTTGAAAAACATGGATATTTTGGGACTAATAAATTCAAGGATGTATATATTCTGATCCCAAGTGGAAGAAACACCTTCGCACACTAACTGAATGCAGACCTTTAATGCGCAAACGTAGCATTTATCAGGGGAACTACTAACAGCCCAGTGAAAGGGAAAATGCGTAGAGCTAAAGAACTCTTGCAACTCATTGTAAGATGTAAGACTTAGCAGTGGACTATATTTATAGCAGAGTATCTATAGCTTAAGCTTATAGTGGTCGCAGTGATATTTATTTTGCAAGACTCGCAAAGCAAAGAGTACATAAATCACTACGTTTATTCTATCCTATTAAGGAATGAACTACTTTATCTTTTTCTATATTTCTTTAACAACCAGTATACATCTCGACCACCAACCAAATCAAAACCAAAAAAAGACCGAGCTAAGCAATAAATAATATTCGTGTTTAGTTTTAAGATGTAACAAGTTATTTATTATATTCACTTATATCACCTTTACAAATTTTAAGGAATGCACTTCTACTGAGGGAAAAAAACTTTAACACTATTAATCAACCCATCTGTAAGTATAGATATGAAATAAATGACCTCCTATTGACAGACTACATATGTATCTATGATTTCCATTTAAGGATTTACACAGTGTAGGTGGGATTTGCCTCAGATCTTTATTTACTCATTAAGACTTACATGAGTACATTCATACAATTTAAAATAAATCGTACAGAACAATATAATAAAATAGTAAACATAAATTAGTGTAGATCAAAATTAAATAGAACTTTCAAATTAACTGCGTAAGAGTGATGTTTCAAGTATTGATAATATAAGACGGTGGTCCAAGTTATATAATGTCTTGTTTTAGCCTTTATATATATATATATATATATATATATATATATATATATGATTTGCATCTGTAGCATAAGTAGTAAAAGTAATTAATATCGTCCTATGGAATCGTAAGAGGCGACAACGGAAAAAAAGCCAGATAATGAACAGCAGAGTCTACCTAATAACGACTAAAATTAAAAACTACGGTTGCCAGCTCGCTTGCCAAGCGTGGCAACTATGTCAGATATCACCCCTATGAGGCAATCTATGGTTGCTATGCAAGGTATATATATATATATATATATATATATATATATATATATATATATATGTATGTATGTAATGTATGTACAGACTATTAACGATTCAATGTAAATTTTCACAGTTTAATGGCGATGAAAGATCAATAACGTCCGTGGGTGTCGTAAGAGGCCACAAACGGAAACAAACCAGGTAATGTGTAGCAGCGTTTTCCTAACCTAATAATTAAAAAATAAAAAGCTCTCAAAGACACCCGAAAGAGAACAACCGGATACCCATTTTGTCGGCAACGTATTTTTAATTTTTAGAAAATTAATAGAATTAAACACCCACGGACGATATACCTTACGACACCCACGGTTACTATGTAGTGACGGTGGTAGAATATCTACTACCACATATTATCAGTGGGTGGGTTTCAGTTTCCCTCTGTCACCTGTTACGATACCCACGGAATTATTATCATCATCATCATCATCATTACAGCCCTTCACAAGTCCACTGCTGAACATAGGCCTCCCCCAAGTAATGCCACAAAGCACGGTCCTGAGCCACCTGCATCCATCGACTTCCTGCATGTCTTACCAGGTCGTCACTCCATCTACACTACGCCTACCGGTACGAGGCTGCCACTCCAGAACTTTTCTACCCCATCGGTTATCGGTTCTTCTAGCTATATGGCCGGCCCATTGCCCCTTCAGCTTACTAATCCGTTGGGCTATGTCGGTCACTCTGGTTTTACTGCGGATATCCTCATTTCTGAGTCTATCACGCAGAGAAACTCCGAGCATAGCCCTCTCCATAGCTCGCTGAGCGACCTTGAGCGTCCTCATACAGCCAGCAGTGAAGGACCACGTCTCAGATCCGTAAGTCATCACTCACAGTCATCACCGACAAAGCCCAACGGATTAGTAAGCTGAAGTGGCAATGGGCCGGCCATATAGCTCGAAGATCCGATAACCGATGGGGTAGAAAAGTTCTGGAGTGGCAGCCTCGTACCGGTAGGCGTAGTGTAGGGCGACCCCCACTAGATGGAGTGACGACCTGGTAAGACATGCAGGAAGTCGATGGATGCAGGTGGCTCAGGACCGTCTTTGTAGCATTACTTGGGGGAGGCCTATGTTCAGCAGTGGACTTGTGAAGGGCTGTAATGATGATGATGATGAAGCTTTTTTTATTTCTATATTATATGATCTAAGCTATTTTGTTTCTTTAGATATATTTTGCCACAGAAAATGCTGTACGTGAATGATGTACTCTGAACGAATTCATTAAGTCAGCTCGTTCTTCATGTTGTAAATAGAGGTGAAGTATCACCACCTATTTGTGTAAGCAACTGTAAATAATGTATACTAATTAATATATTATACTATAAAAATTATAAAAAAGAATGATGTGCAATGTGTTTAAAACATAAATTAATAGTTTCTTTTAAAAAAGGAAGCTCATTCAATGTCATTAATTAATGTTAAAGTGAAACTTCCTCATTGCCTTGTATGATACACGCTACCATATTATACTAATTCATTTAATACGAATACCGAAAGCTTTACGAGTCTCGAGCCCGAGCATTAACATCAATATTGACAGTTACGTGAAAGGATAATTTTTAACTTGTAACAGTGAACAGCTTACATCCCTTAATAAATATCTTATTTTGTTCAATAAATTACAAATACATGATAAATTCTTGGAAATCTAGAATTACCAGATTTACGTGTCCTCAGTTTTCTTCCAGTTAACTCCCATTTTTCAGTAATTTATCATGAGACCAAGACAGACAGCAGTACCTACTTATTGAGTATTAAGTCATATCCAGTCGAGGTCAATATATATATATATATATATATATATATATATATATATATATATATATATATATATATATATATACATATATATATATATATATATAAATATATATATATATATATATATATATACATATATATATATATGACGGATTAGTAAGCTATAGTGGCAATGGGCCGGCCATATAGCTCGAAGAACCGATAAGATATGCAGGAGGTCGATGGATGCAGGTGGCTTAGGACCGTGCTTTGTGGCATTACTTGGAGGAGGCCTATGTTCAGCAGTGGACTTGTGAAGGGCTGTAATGATGATTATGATGATGAATATATATATATATATATATATATATATATATATATATATATATATAATTGTGTTTTAAATTTTAACACTGTATTCGATCTCAAACATGAGCCTAAATCGTAATCAGTAACCGGTACTTGCGTTGATGCGAATACATACGCCTCTATAACATCATAACCAAAAAATAGTTCAGAATACAGTGTGCAATCAGACACGACATAAATATGAATTTTTTACATTATGTTTTTTAATCTTTATCAGATACTAGTGGGTATTAACTGTACTGAGACGATAATTCCACCGTTTTTTCCTTCGTTAAAAAGTATCAAATTTCGTCTATGTCGAATATACCAGTGACAAGACTATGACAGTATCATCGATGATCACGATATCCTATATCATCATCAAAGAAAATGTATAATGTCTTGTGAACCAACAGTTCACAAGACTATTGGGTACATATAACATAAACCATTTTCAAGTTAGAAGGATACGTCACTGGTTAGCGTATGTAGCCACCACGTTGTGAATACTATGTCGGAATATCGGCCGAAGTTAAAACATTTACCAAAAAAAAAATTGCTTTTCAAATAAAATAATGTTGTCCTAACAATTTCGAAACCGCACTCTAGCTTCCCTCATCACAATCTCTTAACACGACATCGAATAGGTAAGGACGAATGAGTGCCTAATTGCTAACTCGTAACAAGTATATATACAACAAGCAAATGCCCGTGACTTCGTTCGCGTGATATCTAATATACACTTAAATGATTGAAATAAAACCAGAAAATGTTTTTATATAATAATATTTAAATTAGAATATTTCTCTTTACAGTAATTTTTAGGCAGTCGGGTTTTTTATGACTTTTAAGCATTGAACTTGTTTCATATTACTATGCCAGGAAAGTTAAATTGATACTCACTGAATGAAGTAATGTATGTTGACATAATTGGGTGCAATGGCACAGGGAGGCGAGTCAGGCGCGTGGGGGGCGGTGGGAGCGGTGGGTGCTGCCCCTGTACTGAGTGGTAGCGTGCTGGTACCACTAGATGCGTCCTCGCTTGCTCCAGTGCCTCCTGTACAACATATATATTAAAAACTAGCTTGACAGGCAGACGTCGTTCTGCCCTTTTCGGCATGTCATGTCATATGAAAAAATTCTTAAATTCGCAAAAAAATATTGTGGGTCACTCATGGGCAAAAGCTATCCTATCTTTCAAGTTGGACCAAACAGCACACGGTATGCAAATTTGATTAAAATCGGTTAAGTGGTTTAGGAGTCCATCGCGAACAAACAACGTGTCACGTAATTTATATATATTAAGATAAAAAATACTTTGGGGGCGACAACAAAAAAGTTGCTTTTAATAATGTAAGTATAGTAGAATATGTAGCAGACACCTTCAAAAAAAGTAGGGGAGCCGTTCTCGCTAAAGCAGATAACTGTAAAATATCTAAAAAATAAGATGATTATCTTTTAAAAACAAAAAATAATCATATTCTTTTAAGATATTACATATGTTTTTTAGAATTAGATATATTAAATAAAAGTCACTTATTTACAATTTGTTGCAAACAACTAGCGAAACAATTGAACTACACCCTTTTATTAATTATACTATCTTATCATTATAATTATACCATTCCAAGTAGGCTTAAATGCGTGTAGTAGGAGTAGCTCACGACAGCGGTCGAATGGCGGCGTTGAACCCAAGACTTTTTGAGCATTCAGTCCGCTCACTAAGGCTACTATCTTTTTTTAATATTTAATTTAAGCCTTAATATGCAATTGTTTGTTGTCCTCAATATAATAAAATACTCGATCAAGATTTACTTAATAAATTACAAGTAAAAGCTTCGATATATTCTACAGTTGCACGCTAGTGCACTGAATTTAAGAGCCGTAGTAGGTCAAATGGTTAACGCTCGCTGTAAATATAACAGAACCCGGGTTCCATCCCCGCCGGTACCAATGAAATTGTTAATTGCAATTTTAAGTGCTGATTTACCACGTGCTCGGCGGTAAAGGAAAACATCGTGAGGAAACCTGCATGTCTGAGGAGTAAGAAAAAAATATATTTCCAAGACACGTGAAGTTCGCCAACACGCATTGGGGCAGCGCGGGGGACACTTCCTTGCCCTAAAGCCCTCTCAAAAATAAGGGGAGGCCTGTTATGCCCAGCAGTGGAGCGTATATAGGCTGTAACTTTACTTTACTTGCACTGAATTTAAGCGTAAAATAACATCCACCAAACATGACCATCACTCAGGACGCCATATAGTAGTGACCGAAGAAATGGTTTAAAAAAAAAACGAAAAATTGGTTAAGCAGATCTTAAAGTCACGGTACGTATTATTGCTGAAAAAAAAAGATTACAATAGGTAGTGATTTATTTAAAAAAAAAACATTCATTTATTTGTGTAAATAACACATTTCTGTATATTATAATATTGTCGTAAGTGGACAAGTTCTTTGTTTGTAGGATTCCTATCTCAATACATAATAGGATTCAAAAGGTTTAGATTACTGCTGTAGCCATTTCGTAGAATTGATCATTTCATAAAGTATGTATGATCTACTACACTTTATGAAATGATCAATTCTCATTTCATGAAATAGCTGTATTACATAAAATGAAAAATATCCTCTGAACACATCATGATATGGTTTGACCAGATCAATGAATCAGCGTTTGACCATATGAACAGCTAAACGCACGCCTGGCCAGTTTATTATGTGGTAAAAAATTAGTAATCATATCGTAAAATAGTTATATCATCCACTGTTGGAGGCGCCTATTTTGTGATGAATTAAGTATTATTCACTATAGGATGGTCCTGCAGACAGATCATAGCAGAACCCGACGGTATGATCGATAAACGGAGTGAGGAGGTCATTCTGTTTTAGGTTTGAAATAAGGTGGCATTCAATGTATGTTCCAAAATCTTGCAGAGTACGAGATAGTAAGCACAGTCTGCACGGCTGCCTTTTTTGGGCTTAGGCGCAATAATCTGAAGCCTCCGGGATTTGAGCACTATTCTAGTCCTAAATTCCGGTTTTACCAGCAGAGGCAGTGTAAGCCGATAAAAATTGACTTAACCCTTTCGGCGAGAGATTAAAAAACTGAACTGCCGGTTTGTCTAGCAGAGAGCTGTGCGTGTCGGAACTAGCAATCCGTAATGCTTTGTTGATGGACTTGGTACACTGGTGGAAAGCTAAAGTTTTGGATGTAAGACGAATTTGGCGAATTTGGCAAATTTGGTCATCATACTACATCTATCCGTAATGACTGATCATATAATTTTCTAGTGATCGCCGAATTCAATTTATTTGATTCTTATTTCTTTGACACGTTTTTTCGCTAGCAGGGACAATAAACGTTGATGAACCCCAGATTGTTAGTTGTTGCCTCCAAAAAAATGTCACTGGTTGAAATCTTGACGATAATAAATAATTTAATTCTTATCGACGGATTCAGATAATTTGTGACCTAAATGATTTTCAAACTCTCTAGCTTTCTAGGCTGACCACGTGTCTCGCACGAAATTTTACATTATCAATCCTAATTATACATTTTCATTTTGTGTGTCTTTTAAAAGAACTGAGAAATCTCGGTAATTTCGGTACCCGAATTTCCTCTTAAATAGTATACTAATTCAAAAAATTACATTCTAAATTTTAATGTGACATACCCGCTTGTATATAAACGTATTCTCCATCATTGATATCTACAGGTACTTGATCATAATATGGCTCGTCTTCAACTGTGGGTACAGCAGCTGGGATACTCTCAAGCGAAACAGGCGCTGATTTGTCGACATCGTTACCTTCAGGTAAATCAGGTGTTGTAGATGTTATTTCTTCATCAATTGAACGAGGAGTTGCAGCACCTCCTGATCTCTTGCGTTCAGAAGATAAAGAGTTTATTGATTCATAGCTTTTCACCTGCAATAGCCAATCAGTATTACTATTTATTATTATAGTAGCATTTCCACTAAAATACTTGGCTTTTGGAAGGAATGTTATATATATTTGAAATTGGCTGCAGTTGTTTATAAGACTGCAGTAGCCACTAACCATCTGGGTCAATTGGAAGTTTGCCACTTCCGGTATATAAAAAATCTTGTATTTTTTAGGCAGATATAATGTATCTTTCTCTTTAGAGAAAGAAATAATATATTTTTTTTACTTACTCAACTTTATCTGAGTAGAGAGTTGACTCTCTAAGATCTTTCTGAATCTTAGATACCTAACTAATTAAATTGATGTATTTTTTTATAGAATAAGGGTGACAAACGAGCACAACATCCACCTGATGGTAAGTAAATGCTGTGGCCCATAGACATCTACATTTATCACCAATTCAGAATAAAAATGCAGATGCATTGTCACTCCTGAGGACGGAGATGGAATGCCTCGTTTCCAGTAAATAGGGTCTCCAGTTCTCTACACTCAATATACAAAACACAGCAGCATTAAGCTGCTATATTATGCTGGTATTCTGTGAGAGCGTGGTCTTTAACCGGTCGAGCCGACCCATTCGTGCTAAAACTATGACATAGCTGCAGCGTGAGTCTACCACTTATATTATTATTTTTCCGATTGGCGAGAAAATAGTTTTAAATATATGAGTAAGAGTTGTATTAAGTTTTCAATTTTCTTAAGCCTTACTCTTTCGCTGATTGAGGGAGTAGATGCTCGGCTGGCGATGGACTCTCGGGAATCAGCATTGCGTAGTCTTCGCCCAAGTGATGAAGGGGGACTGTCTTCTAAACCCGTCTCTGGTAACGACGCACCACGTTTGCTGAATACTTTCGGTGGAGGTCTGATAACAATAAACACGTTAAACAAGAAAAAATATGATACGGACACACAGCACAACAGATCAGTACTCAGAAGCGATAATGAGATGGCTGTATATGAATAATCGACAAGCGATGGGAAGGACTTGGTAGACTATTACCTTTAGAATGTAACGATGAAGATAATACAACACCTGCTTGAGATGATAGGTGATACTACCTAATAAAGCATATGCATTACATCAATATAAAATGATTTTGATGTGGCGAAGGATGAGATAGAAATGTTGTGCACTAGTTTGCAATTATAGTGCATGTTGCACCTGCACTATACAATCAAGTATTATTGTATTTTAAATAATATGCAAATTCAAATTTATTTTTATTTGTGAATAGGAGTGTGATACTGAAAGTTTTTAGAAAATTAAAAACTGAACAAACTAGCAAGTTATTAAATTTTATTATATCTTTTCAAAATAGTGTCCATTTACATCAATACATCGCTGAGAAAAGCATTTTGCCCACTCGTCCTCTCGACGTCTCTGGGATGGGTCTCTTCGACGGCATTTTTAAACACAGCCACTGCTTCCTCGGCGTCTATAAAACGTTTTTCTCTAATTTTTTCTTTTATTTTCGGAAATATATGAATAAATAAAGTCACAAGGTGCAAGGTCGAGTAACCCAGTAATTCTACGTCTCACGTCGCCAAGTAGTCAATTGTTTGCTTGGCGGTGTGCAAAGAGGCGTTATCATGGCGAAGGAGGATCCTACTGCGAGGTCGTTTCTCCCAAACTTTTTCCAAGACAAGTGGCAAACAATTGTTAGTGTACAGCTCTGCAGTAACTGTTTTTCGATCCTCTAAAATAATTGTTGCGTAATGACTGTCCTTCCGAAGAATGAGGCCACCATCTTTTCCCAGGCTTCGACTTCACTTTAGTTGGCAACTCCTCGGAAGGAAAAACTCAGACAGCAGACTGTCTCTTAGTTTCAAGATCATAGCAATAAATCCAACTTTCGTCACCTGTAAGTATGTCGAACACAGCATTTGAGTCACCTCCGTTAAATCTTTGAACCATTGCACGACACTAATCAACGCGACGGAGTTTTTGGGCCTCTGTCAAATTATGAGGTATCCACCGGGCACAAAGCTTCCTGACCGCTAAGTGTTCATGGAGGATTTTGTTTACTTGACTCATACCGATGCCTAAGCTTGTCCGAACCTGTTGATAAGTTACTCTTTTGTCAGTTTCTATCATACGCCGCATAACACTGACGTTTTCTTCAGTCGTTGCCGTAGAAGGCCGTCCCTCACGCAGATCATCGATGAGATTAGTGCGACCATGTTTAAACTCATTAAACCAGTTGTAAACAGTGGCACGAGATTGGGCTTCATCGTGAAAGGCCAATCGATGTCTATTATAACTTCCTTGTTGACTTAAATGACATCGAAAGTCATAAAAAATCATTGTACGAAAATTTCCTTGTGTTGATATTCATTCTGACGTGACACAGACAATTTTCAGTTTGCCGCCAAATCGTAAACAAATGACGAATTAATAAAATACATATAAAATAATATTGGCAAAGAGTTCCCATTTTCAAAATTTGAACTTATTTTTTTACTATATCGTTCACAAGTGGCCTGTTCTAAGAACTTTCAGTGTCACCCTCGTACAGACTTTATTGATTATGTACATAGGTATTCATCATAGAATACTAATAAAATATATAATATATATATATATATATATATATATATATATATATATATATATATATATATATATATATATATCATCGTCACGTCACACAGATAATGTTGCTATGCTATAAGTAATCACTAGACTATAGAACTTATATACACCGACTATAGGAAAATCTGAATGGTTTTCTATGCTAATTTGTCTACAGAAACACTTTAATCAATCATCATAGTAGTTTATAAATTCAATTAGAATATGTTTAAAAATATACAAAGCACTCACTTAGGCGGTACTTTCTTTTTTGTAGCGATTCCTGAATCTGCAGTAGTACTCTCAGGTGACTGAGGGGACTCGTCAGCCTTTTTAGGTGCATTTTCTGCAACTTTTAATCCATTTACCTCAATTACTGTTACAAAATCTCCACCTTGGGATGTTTGACTGTTTTTAGCTTGAGTTTGAATTTTTTGTTCTCCTGCTACTGTAAAATAGATTAAATTCAAACATTATTTTTATGGTGTTACATTAATTATAATTTATCAAAAATATCACATAATATTTTACCATCACTATTCTTATCAGGTTCAGTTCTCTGTACTACTTCACTATTACACCTTCTTCGAGCTTCAACAGCTAGATTAGAAGAAAGCTCATTTATGCATTGATTCACAGAGCTTCTTTCACCAATATGTACAGGCTTAGGTCTAAGATGCACTTCTTCATTCTCAAGGGGCTCATTAGTTAATTCTTCATTATTACTACTTGCTAAACTAATTTCACTCTTTTTTGATAATGAATCTGTATTTGATTCCTGAAAGCAACGATTGATAAAACAATGATATTTAAAAGTGATTGCATTTATAAGTAAAAATAAATCATATACCAGTGCCACCAATGCCTGTTTTCGCCAAGGTAAAAACTTGTTACTCAAGGTTAAATAGATTTGTTTATCTGTTTGTTATAAAATTAGCTATAATTTAAAGAATTTTTGAACCACCCACAACACAGTCTTCCAGGGTGAATGCATGGGTATCAGCCAAGCGGCCATAGCAATAGATGCTAGGAAGGTGAAAGACTTCTCCATCAGAATACTGACCGACAGTATGGCGGTACTACAAGCTCTGAGTTGCAATGTGACGAACTTGGGACTGATATACGAATGCCATCAACGATTGAATGAGGTATGTAAGCACAACAATGTGACTCTGCAATGGATCAAGGGACACAGTGGATCTAGAGTCAATGATGCAGCAGATGAACTGGCCAGAAGGGGATCGGCCCTAGCAACTATAGGGCCAGAACCAATAATACCAATCCCCTTTGGCTACGTTCGTTCACTGGTACGTAGATACTTCAATAATTTACACGCTCGGCTTAAGAAAAGATTCAGAAAAATTTAGTAGACTGTAGACAAGCTAGGGAGGCCCTACCTGAAATAAACAGTCGTCTAACCAAGGTTCTAATGAGACTGAACAAGCCACAGATCAGGATAGTAACAAGTGCTATCACAGGACATGGCTCTTTTAACAAACATTTGTTCACCCTAGGTGTTACTGACAGCCCCCTGTGCAGGGCATGCATGGGAGAGGAAGAAACGGCGGTTCACGTGTTGCTGACATGTCCAAAAGTCGCTTCATACAGGGCTAAACATCTCGGCACGCCGGGATCGCTCCCCAAATTTGCTTACAACATCAAGGGACTGCTGAGCTTCTTCGGGGGAGATATCATGGCTCGAATAAGTATATTATTCCTGCCCACACGCAAAATACGCGCTTAGACGTGGAGTTGCGGAAAACAGCCCGTCGTAAACTAAACTAAAGAATTGTTGAACCAAAAATTGTAAATACTAGATAAGTTTAAGTGTCTTGTATTTACACTTTGGATTACACAGTACATATAGTAGAACATTCGGATTTTTGTTTTCCTTCTATATTTATTTACGTAATTTTTTTCTAATGTATGTTTAGCTTTCTGTAGTCTATCGTCTATCATATTTATTTATTTTGTATTTATTTATGTATTATTATAGAAGATTGGTTGGTAGTCAAGTTATGCAGGGACCAGAGGATGTTTTAAAAATACTAATTTATTAATGAAAAGATTTTTAATAGAGAAAAAAGACTAACTGAACATTATATTCTTAAAACACACAGAAGCTCGGCAGTTTCTGTTTGTGCACTCAGCATTTCCTGTGGTCTGCAATCACAATATTCTGCTGATGTGAACATCTTGGTGAGTCTAGCCACCCGTAACAAGGTATACTTTATTTAGGTATGAGCATGTAATTTTATTATATACACCTCATCCCATTGTCCAATCGGGTTATTCGTCAACTCGCCCGACAAAAACTCGCCCGATCGGGCGACTTGGCACACTCCGAATTTACCTAATATTTCTGTCGTCAACTCGCACGCTCGTACAAAGTACAGCCAGGAAAAAAATTAAATCCATAAACACTCACGCCTGTCACCCAGAGGGGTAGGCAGAGACTACAGATTTCCATTTGGCACGATCCTGACACACTAACACTCTCTCGCCTCCTTCACATCCATACACCTACGCATACATGCTCGTCGGTTAAGGGTACTCCTAATTTGGCCCGTTTCCAATAAGTCGCCAATTTGGTCGATAAATTTTCGCCTAGGACGTCGCTTTCCGACTCTGTCATTCACTTCTGCAACATAAATTTTCTTTGTCACTCTTTCCTCATTCATTCTTTCCACATGACCAAACCACCGAAGCATTCCTTTCTTAATCCTGGTCACAACATCATCTTGCAAACCACACTCTTCTCTTATTACACAATTTCTAACCCTGTCATTCAGATTCAGCCCTAACATACTCCTTAACGACCGCATTTCTACTGCGTTTATTCTACTCTCGTGCTTCTTCTGCCACACTCAACTTTCACTACCACATACGTTAAAGTAGGGACCAACCAGCATTGTGAATTGCCATAGGTGCCTTTTTAGACACATTTTGACTCTTCACAATAGAGTGCAAGGCCCCATTTACTCTATTTCCCGCTAAAAAAATTAAACTAAATTTTAAAAACGACTTCTAATAAAACCTCCGAAATGGCTGAACAAATTTTGTCAGGACTTTCACTACCAGATAACTGAAGTTATAAGGAGGATAACTTAGTCTTATTTTAATATAAGAAAAAGAATTGGGTCTTTCGCAAAACATTCAAATCCATGAAATTCAATCGTAATAAATTTCACGCGAACGAAGTCGCGGGGAACAGCTAGTATTAAATAAAAATTTAAACTAAATTTTAATGACGACTTCAAATAAAATACAAATTAACATCTCAAAAATATAAAAGCATGTTACATCAAATAATAATCAAAGTCAAAAAAAAAATTATAATTAATCTCAACTACTTGCGAAAGGTACTTCGTCAGCCTTTCGCCACAAACTTCTACAAAAATGAAAGAAACACCCACAAATGCAAGTATCTGGGAATACATCTGTGTTTACGAGTATAATACACATAAATTGTTTGCGCCTAAACTATGTAAAACCAATGCAGGTGAACGCGCCCCATTAAGACGTATTATGAAAGTATATAACATGCATTTTTCAAATATTGATCTATTCACTTCATCACAGTTACAATTTCGCAAGAACATTCTAAGAAAGTTGGTAGATATTCAATAGTATCTTAAAATATTTTACAAGATAAATTTGTACTGTTAGCATTTTTTTTTCCTTTTGTCTCATTTTCATTTTTATGTTACTGGGTACTGTCAATTTTATTTTATTTTCCCATTTTCACTTATACTCTGTTTATTGTACATTTATTATTTACTGTTACCAATTTAATATTACTTTGTGGATAACGGTGCTGGTTACATAATGACTAATATTATTTATAACATGTTATTTGGTTTAAGCATTATTATGTAATTGTTTGTTGTCCTGAATAAATAAATAAAAATAACATTTTTTGGATCGAACTGATCAGCGAAAACAACACTTTATAAGTTATTTTATTTTTGTTTGGCAATAATGCATAAATCTCAGGTATCATGTTAGTATGTGTTTCACTGCTTCCTAAATCAACATGTAAGGTTTACAATTGCTGGAAGGGTTTTGTACAAAATTTAAAAGTTCGTCACATAAAACTGTCAAATTATAAATTGCTAATATTGTTTCACAATTATCACTAGCGAAAAACCAACATTCTATTCTTTGAGCTGTAGTAATCAGCTAATAAAAACTTTTTAATTTTCGCGGGCACGAAATATATTTTGTATTTTAATTTTTTTGTGTGTATATATATCTATTTCGGATACAAAACAACAATATTTAGTCAGTACCTTTTTTTTAAATTGTTTTTAAAATTTAGTTTAAATTTTTATTTAATACAATTTCGTTTTATTTGAAGTAGTTTTTAAAATTTAGTTTATTTTTTCCTGGCTGCACTTTGTACGAGCGTGCGAGTTGACGACAGAAATATTAGGTAAATTCGTAAGGCGCCAAGTCGCCCGATCGGGCGAGTTTTTGTCGGGCGAGATGACGAATAACCCGTCCAATCCATTGATTTATATAACACTAGATCAGTAATAACCGCGCCAAAGCGTTGCCACTGCACATATGGCCACAGCCATATGCCTAGCTAACGTGAGTTCATTGTTCAATGTGACACCGACAGAGTTGAGCCGCGACAAAAATGGGTAAATGCGTAGTGAAAGAATGCTATTCAAGGTCACAAAAACGTAATAAATCAAGCGGCATCACTTTCAACACATAATTTTTAATTCTTGTTTTCATATAAAGGTAAAAAACCTCAAATAATTAAATAAAATTATCGGATATTGCCATTTAGGTCCAATGTTGCCACTTTTCCGGATTTGTGATTATTCTACATTAATGGGAGACTATATAATTAATGGAGTAAGTTAATTTGTTACCTCTGATTTTAAATATTTTGTAAATTATAATAAAAACAACGTTTTAACTTTCATACAAAATAATTAATTATTCTTATTTTAGTTTATTCATGAATTATCTATTAAATAGATTTTATTACCTATTTTATATTAATAATTTTATATTATTTATAATTTCATATAAATTTTATATTAATTATATTTTATTAGATCCCTATTTTATATTGTTTGATTTATTAGAACCATAAAAATACGTTTTATTTCATCATTATGTTTACTTCTATTCATCTGATAAGCTTTGTATCCCTTTTTTCTAAGGGGACGTAATAAAGATTTTAAAATAAAATATACTTTTTTGATATAAAAACAATTAACTGCAGCTTAAAAAAATTTTTATTGCGTATTTTAGGTAAAATTTCATATAGTAAGCCACACCAACCCGCCATTGCATGTTTGTGTGTCTATCTTTATCTAATCTTACGACGACGTTATTGTTTTCGCAACTTGTGTAAGTGAGATAGATATATGTTTACTTAAAATTGTTATTAGTTTCAAAGCTACGTCGTCGCGTTTGGATAGTGGTTACACTTTTTTCGACGCGCGGTAATGTGGTTTGCTCCTCTAGTGTTGTATAACTCAACGGTCCAATCATTCAATTTTACATTAACCTGCCTCTTATGTTTTTGTTTCTGTAATCTGTTTTATTTTTAAGATCTACAATAAAGTATATTATACATACATATAGAAAAGTATAACGTAAACACCAGACAATTTATGCTTCATGATTTAATATAACTTTTGTTACAGTCTTAATGAATATAAAATATCAAGCATTTCGATTGGCAATTCATAATGAAGCTTTATCCCATGCATATTTACAATTGGTTTGTGTGATGATACTCATGATGTGATGATGTGAATGAGATTCTAATCTGCTTACGGAATGTCCTTTATAGACAAAAATGAAAAATAATGGTTTTTTGTCTTTTATAAAGTGCATAAAGTCCATCTGATGGTAATTGGAAAGCGTGGCCTGTATATATCTATGTACATCTACTTGTATGCTTGATTAAGACTTAAAACATAGATGTGTTGATTTTTACAGGAATGATAATAACAATAATTTATAATATCTTATTGACAAGAAACTTTGTAGTAAATTGTAAGAAAATTAGTAGTTTTACATCATTGAAGTAATATGCACTTATGCACTAGAACAGCTATCCCAAACAAAAAATGTGCGCTACTCTGTGTTCGCGCGATTGTTTTTTTACCATAAATATAGGTAGAATGACCTGTAGGTAATAGCAGATTGTATTGTTTAATAGGTAAATTATATCGAGTACAATATTTAAATTTTGTCATTTATTTTGTATATTATATTTGCTTATTTAATATAATATTACATAATATTATATCACAATTACATGTTAATGATATTTTTATCTGAATATTTTAAAAGGTATCTATGTCAAAACATACTAAATGTATGTTTAACAAAATTTATTGACATAACGTTTAAACTACAAATATATCAATTTAAATTAGGATAAGAGTCGTTCATAAATGCTGGGCACGCGAGAGTTAAAAATGGACGAATTTATACCACTTTAACTTTGATGTGGACACCTAAAAATAAAATAAAAGAATAATAAGCATATTTTAACATGAAAAATGTCGCCTAATTATAATGACTTATATATGTTTCTACAAAAAAAATGTGTATAATAATATATTCGTCCTATTCTTAAGTACCCACAGAAATGTCACATCTGAACATATTAATTTCATAATCTATATTCCATGACACGAGATGGCGTCTTAGGAATAATTTGTTTTATTATTAATCTACAATACTTTTTATTGATTAAGTATCTTATTAACCGATGAAAAGTAATTCCTTGGTTTTTACTGACATTTCTTTCTTCATATTTTTATCAAGAGATTTTTTTAAATCCACACAACACGTGACAACTCTACAAGCGCCTAGCAAGTGACTGATTAAAGTGCGGTGTATGCACCGCAGTTGAGTGGAACAGAGTAGCTGAATGCATTGTCGCCTCTAGTACGTAGTACATAATAGCTCATTGTTTTACATGAAATTAATTTTAAATAAAAATTGCAATGTTTTTATGCAACATTTCCATGTTTAATTGCATACTGTAAATCAATTTGGAAGCACCTTACTGACCCTGATTTTCAATCATTTTCTCTCTTAAATTTGGATATATTTAATAATGCCAAGCATGGATGCTGTGAGTTGCATGACAGAAACTGATAAGAGAGTAAATCACTAACTTAAGAAGCTCAGCGGTGAAGGAAAACATCGAAAGATAACCTGCATGTCTAAGAAAGAATAAACAATATTTCGAAGACATGTGAAGTTGGCCATCATGCACTGGGGCAGCATGGTGGATTTCCCTTCTCTAAAACCCTCTCAGAAATGAGAAGAGGCCTGTGCCCAGCAGTGGGAGGTTTATATGCCGTAACAGATGTGGGTTGGCTTAGGAGTTGGTGTGCCTCCCCCCCCCCCGAACGAGTTCCAGCCTTGTCTTAGCGAGTAGGACTACTAGAAGTGGCTTGATCACTCACTGTGAACAAAAGAGAAACTCAAATGGTTGGCCCGAGGTGGCCACTCTGGATGGACTTCGCCAGCCTACTTTGGATGTGTGTTAGTGAACTGTGGCGAGAGGGGTATCCTCTCAAAAGGATCACAAGGTAAAGCAAAAGTAGGTGGGTTCAGAATTATCTTAAATAAGAGGACAAAACTTGCTAGGTAAGTGATTTCCGGACATCTATACAAATTTAAAATTATATTCAGAGTTGTTTTTGTGAATGGTTTTAATAACCTTTACTCAAGCTTTTCTAAAATTATTATTAGCCTACCTATGAAACTGCTGTTTTGCATGTGACAATTGAATTAAAAAATTTCACAATAATCTTTAATCAATCAAAATATTTGCCTAAACTATTAACACATTCTAACCATTTTATGGGCAATATGTTGATGCCCTTGCTATTGAAGCCTGCTGCATGAGAATTAATGAACTCTTAAAGGCATTCCTTACTTGGATCTTCTTTCAGAATTTTTCTCTAACCATTGTGGTGAATGCTTGCAATTGTCATCCACTTCACATTACTGGTAACAATTCTACTAAAAATTTTCTCCAATATATGCAGTTTGAGCATTAAAATGCAGGCTTAGATGCAGTCCTCATGCTGAGCACACTCAATTTGTGAGATACTTATTCATCAACTTCTTTATTTACTGATTTGTAGAAAATGAACTAATATTGTTATGATAATTACATCAAAAGCCAGTTCTAGCTCATCCGTAGTTTTAGACAGATCTACTTTCACTATCACCCTCAGTTTGTTATGTCAACCTTTGTAGTGCTAAGTCCATATACAGCATTGATATGACATGTCATTTGAGATTCCTTGTTCCCATATCAAAATGCATAGTCAAAAATGAAATTAATTTACTTATAAGTTCATGGTTATAAATTTAGCAACATGGCAGAAACAACATGTGAATAACTGATCTTGGTTTAGTAATAACAAGCCTCAAATATAAAATTTTATTAAATATAGGCATACAAGTTAAACCATAGCTATTTAACTGCACAATCCCCTAGCAGTCTCATGAGACTGCGGCAATATTCCGTCAAACCCCTAGCGGGCCCAGTTAAACAAAAGTCAGTTATTCAATGGATTAATCATTACAAAAATACTTTATTGAATTTTGATAAGTACATACCAAGTGGATGTCAGTAGCATGAAAATTACTATTATTTCTACATATTACTCGAAATTATTCACGTAAAAAGATAACTTATATTCACACAAAGGCTTTAATAACAATTTTATAAAATACTTTCAACTTTAAATCAACGCAACAATATACAACAATGAACACTCAACAAAGACGCACTTTGAATGTCGATTATAAATAAATATCCATAGACTAACTGACTTTTTAATCCACTAGAGGATAGAAAATTTCATTTTGATTCTATAATGCCAAACTTATGGGTTAAAATGCTGTGGGTGGGTGTGGTCAGATCTGATCACTTGGGATTTAATGGAATAGCACCGTGGTCGGATCCAACCATTTGGGGTTTGAGTTGTTAGCACCCAAAAAAAATAAAAAGACTAGGTATACACTAGCATTTTCAATAACTTTTGATTGGCAAATTTATTAGCTATTCAGAATAAATTGATGAGTGATGTCTGCTATATTTAAAAATAAAGTAAATAAAGCTACAGCTTGTTTATGTCCCAAAGCTAAGCAAGGCCTTTTCTCATTTTAGGGTAACGGAATGTTTGCTGTCCTACCCCAATGCATGTGAGCAAACTTTACATGTCAATATTGTTTCTTTATTTTTTGGACATGTAGATTCCCTCAGAAAGTTTTTCTTCACCACCAAGGATGTAGTAAATCAACACCTTATATTTCAACTAAAAAATACTTTGAAGCTGACGGAGATCAAACCCAAGTTGTTTGAGTATTGCTGTGTAATTTACAGCAAGCACTAAGTTGTTGATAACAAATAAAATTGCAATTTCTCAAAACAAGTCACCAAGTAATAGTGGCATGAAAGAATTCTCTACCCCATGTCATCCCATGAGTGATGTAAGAGACCACAAAGAGAAATGAAACAGGTGATATTGTATTAGTATCTTCCTGAAACAGCTCTAATTATTATTAGAGCTAAAACTATTTCTATTTGTTACCAAACCAAGCATGCTTTAGGTTGAGCTGCGAACTTTTGATAGACTGTAAGGATAATGATGAAGAAGATGATGGTGATAATTAAGTAAATTATAGCTCTAAATCTGGTTTCTAGCCATTATAATTTTTTTCGAACTATAGAACTAAAACCAAATACAATAAAAAGAAAGTTTAATGATGAATATAAATAATTACAATTCCTACACACCTAGTATTTTATTAATAAATGTTATTCAGAATCAGTTAATAATAAATATTCATAAAATTACTAGGTATACTAAAACTTAGCTTAAGACACTGGTATGTATGTTGTACTTATATGCAATTTATTTAATATTAACACATTAATAAATTTTTAATTTCAATATTTTCCTAAACATTTTGTTCATGTAACTATGACACAAATAATGATGAATCACATCACAGCTATCTTTTGCAATGCAGTAGTATATTGAAATGTTTATCTTTATATAATAATATGTCAAAATATGTAACCATGGTTTAATTTGTAATAATAGGGAAATATTAAAACAAATGTTAAGTTAATTTGAAAAAATGCATGATTTAAAACAAGTTACAGACAACAAACTGGTCTTATTGTTATCTATCAATTTTTCATTATGAAGGATTTATAATTATTGACTGATTTGATAATTATTTTGATACCTGTTTGCTATCAGAAGTCTTATCGTCATTTGTGTCTGTACCAGAGGGCGGCGCCGCCTTGTTACCTTCAGCAGCTGCTTTGTGTTTTTCCACATCTGACAATAAAGTTTCCAAATACTCTACATAAAATTCTTCCTTCTCCAATTCTTCCCTCAATATAGCAACTTTCTGTTTATGTTTAGCCAAATTAGCACGGACATCCTCTTCCCAAGCGGCTGGCAAAGCACTTTCAGGAAAACGTTGCACCCAAACACGTTGAAAATCCCCGAATACGCTCATCTCTCACAAAACGATTTCATGACAATTTTATGTTATAATTATAATCAATCACAGATGGTTTCAATGTAAAAAAACGTATCAGCAACTCTGTCAACTGAACATGTAGTTTTTTTATGTTATTTTATTATTTAATTCTGTCAAATGTCTAGTGCTAGGGCTACAACATGACATAATTTCATCAAAGAGTATATAACCACTTAAGTCTATTTGCATAAAAGAAGATTAATAACAAAGAGATACTTACTTTAACCGATATTGCTATAAAGTAAAGAAATAATTAATTTTAGAAAATATAACTTTTATCCACGATAAATTTATGGCGGTTTGTACCTATTTTATTTCTGACGAAGGGACAAATTTCGTATTTTAAATATACTCTGTGGTCTGAGATTTGGTGATGGCACGTTTAGACAATCGGCAAGAGAAACTCGCCGAGGCGTTTACATATTCGTCGGTATTCATGGTATTCATTCAAAGCAGATCTTATAAACATGGATGACGTGCGTCTCGTTGCCACGACTTTATGTACTTAATAAGACATGCAGGAAGATGATGGATACAGATAGCTTAAGACCGTGCATTGTGGCATTCCTTAGGGGAGGCCTATGTTCAGCAGTGGACTAGTGAAGGGCTGTAATGATAATGATGATGATGAAATATTTATTTTTATTAATATTTTTTTAAAACTGATTTCTATAACCCCATATTATCTCGGGTTCACCTTGTTAAAATTCTATAAAAGAGTAGATTTGGTACTCCAATCCATCACAATAAGTAGGTATTTTATTATTATCAATCCTGGATTCTCATTAAAATGCACTAAATTTTCCACACAAATTTTGGATGCGGCTATATTTGTACAGTGACACAAACTTATCGACTCATCCAGGCTATAGGTGTAAAGCAACCGTTAACAACGGATATTTATCCAAAGCGGCCGATACGCAACCAGTTCTTTATCCAACTATAGACAAAAAGGATCGTTTTGTCTTTACTGTATGTGCCGATGACTAAGCTGAATCACTTTCTGCAATGGTGCTTAAAAACTATTTGACCGATTTGAAAATTCGTTCACCATTAGAATTCTATTATGACTGAAACGTAGGATGCATTTTATTATAGAGGGCACTATCAATCAATATGTTTTCTTTTAGCTAAACTCGTAAAGTACTTGACCGATTTTGAAAATTCTTTTCCCACTAGAATGTTGTGTATAATTATAGATGTCTAATGTAGGATAGGTTTTATTATAGAGATTACTTACGTTACTTACGAGGTTAGACGCTACTTTCTATGAATATGTTTTTTTTTTTGCTAATCTCGATAAGTACTTAACCGTTTTTGAAAAATTTATCACCATTGCTAATGAGAGCGTTAGTTACGTGATAAAATTATATTATTAAAATAATTATTTGCGACATTAAAATTGTCTAAATAAATGAAAGTAAATACCTATCCAAGATGATCAACTCCAATTATTATTTTTACAATTTAAGAATCAAATTTACACACTTTACCTACTCAGGTTGATTGTTATAGATATAGGTAATAAATCTAAAATAAAAGAGCTTCGCTCCGATTTTACGAAAAAATCATTAATAAAATAAAACTAAAAGTTGAAAAAAAACAAGTGGCCAAGTGCGAGTCGGACTCGTAAGCCTATGAAGAGTTCCGTAGTAACAAGCATAGATTCTACATCGAGTCAAAATACCATTATCATTAGCGACAACAAATAATTACTTTGTTTTTCATAGTGTTTGTATAAATGACAAAGTCGTATTTGCGGTTCTTGAAAATGTGCTACTTGTATCTCAAAAAAAATGGACTATTATATATTGTAGAGCTTTCTGTGGTTTATTCATTACTAAAGAGAAAACACTTATTGCACAAAAAATGTTTTTATCCATTTCAAGCCATCAAAAGCGGTTGTCAAGCAATGAAAACCAAAACAACCGTTATTAAAGACTCTGTTGAAATCGTTGACAACCGCCTTCACAACTTTAATCCAAGCAACAAGGCTGTTACGGGCATAACCGTAGTAGAGTCCTCCCGTACTGTCATTAATAATGCGTACTGAGCTGTTAGTTGAAACTAGTACAGCTTTACTGTTTTCCGTTTGCAGAGCTCCATTTTCGCAACTGACCTAAACAGCTGTAGGTTTTGGTAAAGGTAAAGATATTTTCAAAGTTGGAAAAGTTTTCTTTGGTTGTGGTTCTTCCTCCTTGTCATCTTCATTAGATGAATTTGGATTTGATAAATGGTCAATTTGCTCCTCATCGTCACCGGTACTGAGTAACTCTTCAGTATCCGGGTAATAGTAATTGTCAGACCCATATTCGCCGTCTTCGTCACTGTACGGATCACGTTCTTCATTCGATGATGATTCAGGGGTAGATGTATCTTCTAAAAGCTTTCGCAGTCGCTTTTCTTCAACCTTTCGCTAGCCTTTCGCCTAGCTCATCTTCAACCGAAAAACTACACAGACATTATAAACGACAAAAAGCATCTTATCGTGCCAATTGCAATTTATCAGTGAAAAATAAGTACAGTGTTGTTTTATACAACTTGCTTTGCTATGCAACAAATCGAAAATAATGGTTTTTTGCTGTTACCTTCTAACCGGGAGCGCGATGTTTTTTGGCGCGAAACCTGGCGTAAAAAGTACTACCGTCAGCGTGCCACTTAACCCCGCAGGCGCTCATACATTTGCAACAGAACAGCCATACTATCAATTTTATACTACGCTACGCTTGTGTTTGTGCAACCTTCAAGAAAGAACAATTTTTTTGGTAGTATGTGTGGCAGTTGGACTCTAGCTGAGCTACTTGGAATGACATAAATTCTGTGCTCGTATTTCGTACATTTTGCACAGCAATAACCGTAGCGACTATTGAAGCAATTACGGTTATTACGGGGATTACCCTTCTGTCACATTGCTTGAGCTCGGTCTGTCGAGATATCCCATTAACGCGCACGAATTTATTAAAAAAAAAAACAAGAATAAAGGCTTTAGAGTAATTACATACATAATTATGCAGAGAGGGAACCCACAATTCTACACAAATGAGAGCTAATAATCTTCCGCTTACCAGATGTGCTAGTTGACACTGAGGTGAAGTTTTTTGTTACAAAGTGTCATTTAATTTAGAAGTTAATTTTATATAAAAGCTTATCAGTTTCTAGAGTATTATATTAATAAACACACAAAACGATGCATCAGTGGTTTGCTGTTAATTTTTTGCACAATATTTTTGGCTGTTTTCTGGTAAATAAATTAATTTATTATTAAAGTGTTGAAAGAAACATTTACTTTTACATTTTTTGGACAAATTATGTATCCCACTATGAAAACTGTCAATTATTACACCTCAATTTTAAGTGCGCCGCCCTTGTGGTAGAATAAGTCGTAACCCTCATTGAGTTGATATATTTATCTCGGTTTTTCTAATATCATTTTCAAATAAGGCAAAAAGAGAAACGCATCGAGAGATGTTGCGTGTAATTTATCCGTAGAGCTTTATTGACAAGTGGTCATCTTTAGTCTCTTTTTTACAAACAACTTTTTACACTTTTTTTTACTTCTAATTTACTAGCAAAATGACATCCCTATTGTAGTAATGTTATGTGTGCCGTTATTTCAAAAGACACGATGTCTTTTATATATAATGACAAAGACATTTAAGTAGTATTTAAATCTCTTTGTATAATGATGACGTTCTCAACGTTAGCAACAATCGACATAAATATACTCGTTTTTGTATATTTATTTATTTTTGCTGTATACATACATACAAATATGTCCAAAAATCTGCTGAGCAGAAAATAAAACTGCGAGAAAAGGTAGGTAGAGAAAAATATAACGAAGCCATGAAATGAGAAGAGAGGGGGGGAGGACACAATTACCCTGCAATCGGGCCATCTGCTCTACTTTCGGAAGGGAGACGGCCTATCCTAAGGCGGAGTAGGTTTCCTCGTTCATAGGATCCTCACTAGCAGCATTGTAGAAATCTCCAGTATGTCGACACGGGTAGCGTACTTTGTACTTAAGTTATCAAAGAGATACTCTCTGCAGACCGTACAAGTTTATTCCCCGACCTCGGCACATTCGGATGACGAAGTTGAAACAGTCTATGAAGACATTTCTATTATATATACTATATTGCAACTATAGTTCGTGCCAAATCGATTGAGAAAAACCGGCCAAGAGCGTGTCAGGTCACGCTCAGTGTAGGGTTCCGTAGTTTCCCGTCCGTCACAATAAGTGTTCCCACTTATCAGTTTAAAGGCAGCTCCAGCAGCGCTCCGCGCTCCTACAACTGCTCCCGGTAGTGGGTACTGTTTCCATCCAAATTCAAAATGATTTTCCTAGAAAGTCCTTATAAACTTCTACTTTTCAGATTTTTTTCATATTTTCTAAACTTATGGTTCAAAAGTTAGAGGGGAGGGGGACACATTGTGTTTTACTTTTGGAGCGATTATTTTCGAAATTATTGACATTATCAAAAATGATTTTAGTAAACCCCTATTCATTTTAAAATACCTTTCCAACAATATATCACACGTTAGGGTTGAAAGTAAAAAAAAAATCACTTCCCACTTTACATATAGGGGGGCTACCCTAATAAAACATTTTTTTCCAATTTTTATTTTACCACTTTGTCGGCGTGATTGATACACATATTGGTACCTTTCAGCTTTCTAGTGCTAACGGTCACAGAGATTAAACGAGGACGGACAGACAGACATGGCGAAACTATAAGGGTTCCTAGCCGAGTGTTAAAAGGCGTAACCTACAAAATCTCAATTTAGCTGTGATAACAATATTTAAATTTTGATATTATTCACACTTCTAGGTCAGCACATATGTTTTTTTGGTTCTTAAATAATATTGTTTGTGGTTCCTATAAACATCGTAAAATCTTATGATACATCACGAAAAATGT